GTGGCGAAGGCTGTGCAGGGGTTTTAGTTCGCAGTGGACGCGTGGGCGAGGTGGAGGGCGGAGGCGGAGTGAGCGACGGCGGCGGTAGTGTGGTAGAGGTGGAGGCTGGTGGCGGCGTGGGCGAGATGGAGGGCGGCGGCGGTGTGAGCGGCGGCGGCGCCGGTGTGGTGGAGTTGGAGGGCGGAGGAGGTGTGGGCGAGGTGAAGGGCGGTGGCGGCGTGAGCGGCGGCGGCGGCGGTGTGGTGGAGGTGGAGGGAGGCGGAGGCGTGAGCGGCGGCGGCGGCGGTGTGGTGGAGGTGGAGGCCGGCGGCGGCGCGGGCGAGGTGGAGGGCGGCGGCGGCGTGAGCGGCGGCGGCGGCGGTGTGGGGGAGGTGGAGGCTGGAGGGAGGCGGAGGCGTGGGCGAGGTGGGGGGCGGCGGCGGCGTTGAGCGGCGGCGGCGGCGGTGTGGTGGATGAGGAGGGAGGCGGAGGCGCGGGCGAGGTGGGGGGCGGCGGCGGCGTGAGCGGCGGTGGCGGCGGCGTGGGCGAGGTGGGGGGCGGCGGCGGCGTGAGCGGCGGTGGCGGCGGCGTGGGCGAGGTGGAGGGCGGCGGCGGCGTGAGCGGCGGTGGCGGCCAGGGCTGGTGCACTAACATTAACACACCTCAGGGGCAGCACTGACTACAGATCGTGTCAACACTTGGCGCAAATAGGTCGGTGTTAACACAGTTGAACGGCAGTCCCAAAACAAGCGTTAACACAGCCGTTAACACGGTGTTGACACGCCCTCCAGGTAAAACCCGGTATACCTGCAAAAAACCGGGTATACCCGAGAAATACCTGGGTCCGCGTCAATGCCGCGCGCGCCCTATTCCCAGGGCCCCTGCGCCAACTGCGGCTCGCACCGCCTGCTCAAGTACGCGCACCGCACCATGTGCGCTCGCTACCGGTGCCAAAAGGCAGCATCGGCGCTGCGCCAGGCGCGGCTGGCAGGTGGCGGTGCGGACGATGCGGTCGTGCCGACATTCTGCTTCAAGATTGAGGCAGTGCTCGGCATGCGCTTCTGCGAGCCCGAGCAGCTCATTGCAAAGAAGCGGCGCAACAGGCTGGCTGCTGCCGACAAGGCCGTGTGCTACCTCACGCGAGGCACCTTCAAAGAGGACAGCAATGACGCTGGATTCACCGACACGCGCTGGTGGAGCTCGAGGAGCTGTACGAGAACTGTGGCAAGACGCCGCTGAAGAATGCGCTCAAGAAGTACCGAAAGGCGGAAGAGGAGGATGTGGATGCGGCGATTGCCGACTTTGAGGAGGGCGTCGAGCACGAGGGATAATAATAAATAGGCGCATTTGGGATGGCTGGGACATGTTCGCAATCGCAGTTGCGTGTGTGAAGTGAATATGACCAGATGCGCGGCTTCTTTACAAACTAAAACAAACAGCAGCCCCTCCCCTCCCCTCCCAGACAGGCGGGCCCAAGGTAGATGAGTCACGCACGCAACGAGACGAGCGCGCCGTACCAACACCCCGACACACGCAACTCTCTAGAAGCACTAGTCCTCCGCAAGTGGGAAGGCATACTTGATGGGTGCGGCGGCCGGGTGGGCCTGGCGCCCGCGCTTGCTGCCCTTGACGAGCTCATGGAACTCCTTGAGGATCTCCTGCACCGGCACCTCCCACGCCTTCATGTTGCGCCCGTGGTAGTGCCAAAACATGAGGTTTGCCAGGTTGCGCTGGCCGAGGCTAGAGCGCTCGGACGTCTTGATGTCGTTCATAAGGGAGAAGATGCGCTCCGCCTCCGACGTGTCGAGCGGGATCAGTAGCATGATGGCGACGAGGCGGAGCACAGACATGTACTCGCCCGAAAAGGTGACGAGCATGTGCGACCAGAGGGACTTGAACGGCCGCTGCTTGAGGCCGGGGCTCTTCGAGATCTCCTCCTTCAGGTCGATCCACGTATCGAGCAGGCCCTCGAGCGTCGTGTCCGGGAAGAAGTCCTTGTAGTGCTTGTACAGCTCATTGATCTCCGCCTTGCCGAACGCCTCCAGCGCCTCGTGCTCCGTCGGCCAGTGCCGGTGGTCAAAGACGGCGAAGGACTCTGACGGAGCGTGTCAACACCTCCCGCGGGGCGGTGTTAACACGTTTGAACACCTCTACGGCTGTGGTGTTAGCCGTTAACGTGTGAACACCGTGGTAACGTTAGTGCACCAGCCCTGGATGTGGAGGAGGTGGAGGGTGGCGGCGGCGTGGGAGAGGTGGAGGGCGGCGGCGGCGTGAGCGGCTTCGAGCGGCTGCGGCGGGCTCGGCGACTGCCGGCACACTGTGAGACCATGGGTGTGAGGTTAAACCACGCTACCAGCGCTTGGTCACATCGGCCCCGAGGTCAGATCCTTCTACTCTGTTGATGACAAGACTTGTCTACTGGCTGGAGCCGAGCAGGAGGGCCCAGCGCACAACCCCTGGTCAACTCATCAGGGTCCACACCCCGTACACAGAGTGGCAGACGCCCCAGGGAACGACGCGCGCATGCCTTCCCTATTTTGACCTCTAAACGACGCGCGATTTTTTTTAATTCGCCCGCGCCACATTTCTTTCGTTTCCGAGACCTTGCCGTGCCACTGCCAGTGCACACTACACTACGCTAGCAGCTGCCCGCATGCCTCGCTGGAAGGCGAGCCGTCCGCCGCCAGCCCTTCCAGCACCTGCCGAAGGGGCCGCTCCGTGCCGCCCGCCGGCACCGTGAGCGATGCGAGGACGGCCTCTCCCCACTCGCCACCGCAAGCCGAACGCTCGTGAACACGGCGCGCCGCGACGAGCGCAGCGCACGCCTCCGCGTGGAGGGGCGCGTGGCGCGAGGCGAGGAGGAAGACCGCGAACTGCAGCGTCGCCTGCGCTCCCCGGCGGGCGGCGGCGGGGCCGAGCAGTCAGCGACGCTGCAGCGGGCCTCGGCCACGGGGCTTGCGCTCTCGCCTGCCCCGTCATGCCGCGCTGCAGGGCCGCCGTCGGGGCCATTGCGCCGAGCTCACTCCGGTAGTCGCCGCAGACCTGCGCAGAGGCACGCGGGCGAGGGAGCTCGAGGTGGGAGGAGGGGTTCGAGGTGGGAGGAGGGCCGCGGGCGCGGATCGGCGCCGCGCCTGAGCTATGGTGAGGCAGAGGAAGCGGCACAGCTCCGCGCGGCAAAACGGGTGCAGGCGAGACACGTCCAGCCGCACAATACACCCAAACGTCTCGGCCGGAGCGGCGCCCCCCGCGCCGCTGCCGTCCTCGCCGCCGCCGCCGCCGCCGCCACCGCCACCACCACCAGAGCCACCTCCGCCGCTGATGTCCGCCGCCGCATGCGCTGCGCGCGCCGCATTCAGCGCGCAACCCTCGACGAGGAGGCGGAGGGTCGCGCCGACAAGCGCCGCGCAGTTCGGGTCGCGGTGCCTGTGTGCGAGAGAGCACGAGCTGGGGCGGCGGGCGCGGCCAGGAGAGGGCGGCGGCGGCGAGGCAGACCCGACGTGGGCGTAGAGGGACGCAAAGACGCCGTCGACGCCTCCGATCCGCGCGCGGCTGCCCACGGGCATGGCGAGGTTGCGCAGCAGGTTGCACGCCACCCGCACGCCCTCCAGGTCGACCCTTGAGCCGTTGGAGCGGAGCAGATGCACGCACGCGTCCGCGACGCCGCCAGCCACCTCGAGGAGGCGGACGCAGCGCGCCTCGCTCGAGCCGATGAGGAGGAGCAGCTGGAGCGCGTTCACCCGCAGATGGCCCCAGCGAAGCAGGCCTGCGGCGAGGCTCGGGCGTCGGCGGCGGAGGCGGCGGCGGGCGGGATATGGAGAGAGGCGTGCGGCTCTCGCCGCATTCGGCCGTGTCCGCGTCGGAGTGCCGGTCGATGGCGTCGATCGCGCTGGTCGCGACGTTGACGGCAGCGCACAGAGCAGCCGCTCCGCTGCCTTCGGCCAGTGCCGCCTCCGCTTCTGCGCCGGCCCGCCTCTGCTCGGCGCTCGCGCCTGGCTCGCTGGCGGACTGAACGAGCGCCCGCATGCTCTTGCAGGCGCGCTCGGCCGCTGCCGGAGGCGGCGCCGCGGCGAGCGCCGCGTGCTCGAACGACAGCGCGTCGAGGGCGGCGGCGAGGTCTTCCATGTATGTGTTGGGAGCGCGGCGGTCGCCGGCCGGGGCAGCAGGCGGGCCGTGTGCCGAGGCGGCGGCAGCGCGGGCGGTTGGCAGCCCGGAAAATTTCTTTTCTTTGTCTAGTGCAGTCGTCTTTCGCAATCGTGGGATCGCTGCTTGTCATGTGAGAGAGCTGTGGCGCGAACAGCTTCAGCTTTTCTCGCCCGCTCTGCTGAGGGCGAGGCGCCGAGCTTCGGTTCCAACGCTGCAGCACTCTCCCTCTATTCACAGCAGAGAGGCGACGCGTCCTCACGCGCGTCCTCGTCCCCACCTGCTCTGCTTCAACGTGCTGCCATGGAGCCAGCGCGCCTCGCGCCATGATTCAATCGCCATGGCCGGAGCGCTGTGGACCGCAACGGTCCGTGGCCGCTGTGCGGCGGCACGCGCAGGCGCTGCACAGATCAGAGCATTGGCGCCGAGCATTCAGTTTCCGCATTCAGTTGTCGTTGTTCTGTCGGCTCGAACAGCCCGTACAGCCATTCAGCGGCTGGTGGATAGCGCACAGTCTCCACGGCGGATCCGTGAATCTCGTGCACACCGGCTGGATGCGCAAAGCGCCGCCGCCGTATGGACCAGCCCGATGGACCGTGTTTGTGGTCGGGATGGACAGTCTTGGTGTGGCCGTCCAGCGTATCATTGCAGAATGAAGCAGCGACACGCAATACACAGACGAAGCTGGAACTGCCGGTCCAGCGGCCGATCTGCGTCGGGCGATCGCTGGGAATTGACCGAGCTTGCTGCTTCCGGAATGGCATCACGGATTTGCCTTCGTGGGTATGAGCATAGCAGCAAGCGGTCGCGCGATGGGACGCGCGACGCACAGCAAATACAGCAGCGAGAGCGTCTAGTGTTGACGCAGGTAACGGGCGAGGTCCTGGGTGCAGAACCCGCCCTGACTCTGCCGATCCACCGGATTGCGACTCGACTGCTGATACCAGTCAACTGCTGGCGGGCAGCTTGAACTGCTGTCGCCCCGCCAGAGTATATCTCGACTAGCTCTACATCGAGAAGAAAGTCGTCTCGGGCGCCGCGTCATCGGCGGCGGGGCGGGCGGGCAGCTGGATCTGCTGTCGCCTCGCCAGAGCATATCTCGACTAGCTCTCCATCGAGAAGAGCGTCGACTCGTGCGCCGCCTCGTCGGCGGCGTGGCAGGCGGGCAGCTGGATCTGCTGTCGCCTAGCCAGAGTATATCTCGACTCGCTCTTCATCGAGAAGAGCGTCGTCTCGTGCGCCGCCTCGTCGGCGGCGTGGCGGGCGGGCGGCTGGATCTGCTGTCGCCTCGCCAGAGTATATCTCGACTAGCTCTTCATCGAGAAGAGCGGCTCACGCAGGCGCAGCGACGGCCGGGGAGGCCTCGCACCAGATGCACTGTCGGCGTCGTTCTACGCGGGCCGCTCGTGGACTGATTGACTACGGTTCTCGCGTGGGGGCGCTGTGCTGTGCCGTACCGGGCTCGACCACGTCGTCAAGCCGTCGAAGTCCGAGACGTGGGGAGGCACAACGCCCAACCACGCCAGGGCCCCGTCGAGATCGTCGTCGCCGCGACATCGAGACCTCCGGTGATCTCGGGTGATCTCGGGTGATCTCCGGTGATCTCCGGCGGTCGGGCGGCGTCGATCTCCGAGAGGGAGTCGAGTCTAGCGTTCCTCAAGATGACGCACTACTCAACTCAACCCTACGCCCGCATCGATGTGGGAGGCAAGGCCACCCGTCGATGCGACCTGCTACCAAGCGGTGGGGCAGGAGATTGGAGGGGCCCCTTGCAGAGGTGGCGCGAACAGCTTCAGCTTTTCTCGCCCGCTCTGCTGAGGGCGAGGCGCCGAGCTTCGGTTCCAACGCTGCAGCACTCTCCCTCTATTCACAGCAGAGAGGCGACGCGTCCTCACGCGCGTCCTCGTCCCCACCTGCTCTGCTTCAACGTGCTGCCATGGAGCCAGCGCGCCTCGCGCCATGATTCAATCGCCCCCACCCGCCCTCTTCCTGGCGATATTCATGGCTCAGAGCTGATTGAGCTCTCTTTATTCATGGGTCTCAGTGGAGAGACGACTTGAGGAGACGACTAGTCTCACTCCCCCGCTTTCGTCATGCAGCGTGTTCTGTTCATGTGTGTCGTGATGTGTCTGTGGGCCCTGGCATGTGTTGTCTGTCCCAGGGCGTGGGGAGGCACAACGCCCAACCACGCCAGGGCCCCGTCGAGATCGTCGTCGCCGCGACATCGAGACCTCCGGTGATCTCGGGTGATCTCGGGTGATCTCCGGTGATCTCCGGCGGTCGGGCGGCGTCGATCTCCGAGAGGGAGTCGAGTCTAGCGTTCCTCAAGATGACGCACTACTCAACTCAACCCTACGCCCGCATCGATGTGGGAGGCAAGGCCACCCGTCGATGCGACCTGCTACCAAGCGGTGGGGCAGGAGATTGGAGGGGCCCCTTGCAGAGGCGTTGTGTCCTTCCTGTCTTTTGCCGAACTCTTAATCAATCCGGATAGTCCGTCTTGCCCCCTGCCCTTGCCCGCATCGTATGTCACAGTCCGCTGAGCTCTCCGGCTTCGGCTCGCACGTCGCCTCCGAGGCGGTGCTGGGCGCGCTGCCTGTCGGCCAAAACTCGCCGCAGCAGCCTCCGCTGGGCCTCTACGCCGAGCAGCTTTCGGGCACCGCCTTCACGGCGCCACGCGCGACCAACCAGCGCTCGTGGCTCTACCGGATTGCGCCATCCGTGGGCGGCAGCGCCTCGGAGCCGCTGCCCAGCCGGCTGCAGGCCGACTTCTCCGACGCCGCGGCCGTCGCCGCGCCCGATCCGCACCGCTGGCGGCCGCTCCCGCTGCCGACTGGCGCGCCAGTCACCTTTGTGGAGGGTCTGGTGACCATGTGCGGCGCGGGCGGGCCTGCGCTCAAGGAGGGCGTCGCGATCCACCTCTACTCGTGCAACGCGCCCATGCTCGACACCGCCTTCTCCAACTCGGACGGAGACCTCCTCCTCGTGCCGCAGGCGGGCGCGCTGCACGTGGTCACAGAGTTCGGACGGATGAGCGTCGAGCCGCGCGAGGTGTGCGTCGTCCCGCGCGGCGTCCGCTTCGCCGCGAGCCCCGCCGCCGGGTCGTCCGGCGCGCGTGGCTACGTACTCGAGACCTTCGGGCCCCACTTTCGCCTTCCGGAGCTCGGCCCGATTGGGGCAAACGGGCTCGCCGAGCCCCGCGACTTTGTGTACCCGCACGCGTGGTACGAGGACCGGACGTGCGACTTCACCGTCGTCACCAAGCTGCTCGGCCGCCTCTACGCCACCAAGCGCACCCACTCCGTCTTCGACGTCGTCGGATGGCACGGTCGCGCACCGACCCGCCGCCACCGCCGCCCGCCACCACCGCCGCCCGCCGCCACCGCCAGCCACCGCCGCCCGCCGCCACCGCCGTACCGCTCGCCCCGCCCGGCTCAGCACCGGCCGCCGCCGCGACACTGCAGGCAACTACGCGCCGTACAAGTACGACTTGCGCCGCTTCCACGCCGTCAACACGGCGCCGCCCTCCGCCTCCCTCTCCCACCCAGCCGCCGCCACCGCAGAGGCTGGGCCGTCACGCCGTCAAGAGACGCCGTGTACAGACCCCCGAGGCTTGTGCTCCCGCCGCCTGTCAGGTATCGGTGGACCACCCCGACCCGTCCATCTTCACCGTGCTCACCGTACCGACCAACGAGCCTGGCGTCGCCGCCGCCGACTTTGTCATCTTCCCGCCCCGCTGGCTCTGCGCCGAGGGCACCTTCCGGCCGCCCTACTTCCACCGCAACTGCATGTCCGAGTTCATGGGGCTCATCGACGGGGTCTACGACGCAAAGAAGGGCGGCAAGGGCGGGTTCGAGCCGGGCGGCTGCTCCTACCACGGGGCAGGCACGCCGCACGGGCCGGACGCAGCGGCGGTGGCCTCGGCTTCCCAGGCCGACACCTCGCGGCCCACAAAGTTCGACGGCGGCCTCGCCTTCATGTTCGAGACGTCGGCGCTGCTGCGCCTCACGCCGTTCGCCGCCGACCCGTCCAACGGAATGCTCGACACCGACTACGGCGCGTGCTGGGAGGGGCTGCCGCGACTCTTCTCGTCTGCGGGCGTGGCCAACGGCAGCAACGGCAAGTAAAGCGGCTCGCTCGCATGATCGTGGAATTAGGTCATAGTACTTAGCTCATTCCATGACCCCTCACTTGAATCCTCCGCCGGGCACCCCAACTCAGAACTCACATGATCCCCAGATAATACTCGCACAATTATGATCTCCTATCCCCCTCAACACTACGCTCCGAATCTCAACTCTGTACAGTAGACGGGGCAGTCTCGTCTTTTTCGCGCGCCATGTACGATATCATGGCCCATTCACAATGATTATCCATGCGCCCCTGTGCCCTGGAAAATAGATAATAGTCGGTTGCACCCCCCACACGCCACACACGGCGGATCGCCGCGCAACGGGCAGGCGGCGCAACATCCCCAACGCAAGAGACATAACGTAAAGCCGTAGCCGACGACCACACCCATCGTTACCATCGTATGACAACACCCCACTCCACACCGCGACACACACACATACTGTTAGTAATCACACAGACCCCGCTCGTACGGACCCAGACACACGGGGTGTATATACCGTGAACGCGTCCGCGCAGCGCGAGAAACTCGTCGCAGACTGAAAAAAACAGCGCGCACCCCTGTACACTCCATCCCCCCTCTCGCCGTGACACGGAGCCGCACCTCACACACGCTGATACACGCAGCTCACGCACACCGCACACTGCCTGTCACACAGGACGCACCGAGACGCACGCGCTCAACGATTCCAACGTAGTGCCCAAATCGCCTAGCTATATACCTCCTCTATGCCGTACCTCATCCACTGGTACCAGCGGCGCGCGTCTGGCTGGTCCGAGAGCTGCCCCACGAGCTCTTTGAGAGAGGGAGCGTAGAACGCGGCGAGCTTTGCCAGGGTGGCACCCAGCATCGGCGGCTTGCGCGCTTCTCGGTCGGGCGAGGCAGCGACAGCTCCGGCGAGGAGCCTAGACCACGCCGCCTCGTCGTCGGTCTTGAGGTTGAGGAAAGAGAAGACGCTCTGCAGCACCTCCCGAGGCCGGGAATAGTACTGCTCAGCGCGCAGCGCGAGCAGCCGCGGGTGGTCTTGTCGCCACCGCGGCAGGAAAACAGAGTACAATCCTCGGATGAGCTGGTCGCAGTGGCCGAACGCCGCCTCGTTCTCGCTCGAGAGGCTCTCGAATGAGAGCGCGCACCGCTCGACCCCAAACTTCTTTTCGCACTGCAGGAATGAGTTGACGGACGCGTCGACCCACGCCGCCTCGCCCTTGGCGCTGCTGTTGTAGCGCTGCCTATATTGCTGCCCACTCCAGTACGCAGAGTGCATCCTCACCCATGGCAGCCGGAGCATGACAATCAGCGACGGCGCGGGACTGTCGGCGTAGCCGACGCGCACGAGCTGCGGCACCGAGAATGTTCGAACGGGCTCGCCTTGCCCCACAAAAGGCACGCCATTGAACTCGCCTTGCATCGCGTCGAGCTTGCGCGCGTGTGGCATGCTCCGCCCCATGCAGACTCCGAGGGCCTCCTTCTTTTGGCGCAAGCACCGCTGGCGCGCCTCGGCCATGGTGTTGAGGAACGGGGTCGCGAGTCGGCTCTGCTGCTGCCACACGATGTCAAAGCCGTCGGCGACGGCCTGCCCGAGCAGCTTGTTTGGAAAGGCTTGCGCAAACCGAGACGTGATGTCCATGTACTTTTGCCATTTGACTTCTGGCTGCGTGAAGAACCAGCCCGTTCCAAACGGGATCGCGGCAATGTCGGCGCTGGCGGAGATACGAGCGTACAGGTCGCGCACGCCGGTCTGAGCCACCCCGAGCAGCAGAAAGGCGGGGAGGCAGCGCGTATTCTTGCCCTTGGCCCAACACGGATTCTTCCCCGGCCTTATCGTCGCGGGCGGAGCAATCGGCTCACGCATGGCAAACATTCCGGGAACGTACGCTTTCGCAGCCTTGCGGTACACGGCGAGCGCCCGAGGGCAGTATGTGCGATTGCGTGGGCAGGGCGAGCGGGCGCAAGGTGCGCCCTCGCAGGGGTGCGGCAGGCTAGGCATGCTGGGCTGCGGCCGAAGCATCACAACGGGCTGCACCTTCGCCCGGGCCTGTTGCGACGCAGCATTGCTAGCCGCTGGTGCCTGGAGCGGCTTTGCTTCGGCAGCCGGCGCGGCTTGCGCCGTTTTGGGCGGCTGGAGGGACGTGAGCGGTTTGGCCGGCTCTGATGCCGCCGCTTTGGGCGTGGTCTGCACCGGCGTGATCTGCGGCTGTGCCCCAGTCGGCTTTGCCTTCGTCGACGTCGCCTCCGTCGGCGCCACTGACTTTGCCTGTAACGGCTTCGGCGCCACCGGCTTCGCCTGTAACGGCTTCGGTGCCACCGGCTGCGCCTGCACAGGTTTCGGCTCCGACACTTTTGGTTGCTGCGGCTCTGGGGGTTTCGGCTCGGCCGGCTTTGGCGCTGACCCTTTGGGCGGCACCGGCGTAACCTTCGCTGTGACCTTCGGTGCAGCAGCCTGCACATCAAGTCGACCAGAGGTCCATCCCTTGGGATCACCCACCGGACGCTTGTAAAGCTTCTCGCTGAATTTGAGCCAGCACTGCCGATGCCGCCCGCCGCAGGCTTGTTGGTCGCCGCACCAAACCCACGTATTGCAACGCTTTCCAGGCCTCCCGTTGGCCTCGATCGGTTTATGGGCCGTACACGCCCGTTGGCAATCAGCTGCCACATCCACCAGACACTGGTAGCCAGGTCTGACCACTACTCCTTCCAACTCCATGCCAACCACGCCGAGCGGCGACGAAACGGACGGGGCGCCTTCAGAACCGCCTTGCTTCGCAGCAGATTTCGGCGCAAGCTCGCACTGCTGCGGAAGTGGCGGCGATGCGATCACCCGCGCAGGCGGCTGCTGCGTCACGCTACGCGGGGGGGGTGGCGGCGACGCGCCCTGCTCCAGCCTCCTCGCATGCAGCGCCAGCCTCGCCACCGTCCTCGCACTCCTCTGGGCGCTCCTCTGGGCAGAGGCTGGGAGGTGCGGTCTCGGCTCGCTCCAGCCAGCGACGCGAAGTTGGGTTGGCTGGACTGGGCGTGGCATGACGAAGGTCATCAGCACCACGAGCATGAGCGAGCCGGCCAGCAGCAGCCGCGAGATCATCCGCAAAAGCAGGCGCCGCTGCTCGCTGCGGCGGATGACGGGGCTGCAGCAGCACGACCTGGGCTTGCGCGGCCCGTCACGACTCTGCGCGGGGCTGAGCGGTGTACCAGTCCCGGTGCCACCCTTCTCCGGTGTGGGCTCCAGCACGTGCTTCGCCATGGCCGAGTGCCCGCTGCTCCAGAAGTTTGAAGGAGGGCCTTTTCGGTGCATCTCCAGAGCGCAGAGACGGCCGCCGAGAGAGCCCTGGCGAGGTAGAGCTGCAATAGCTGCCTGTGTGTGGGAACAGCTGACGCAGTCTCGCCGAGCTCGCATCTCGGGTTACCTCGCCCCCCCGGGCAAGGGGGGACCCCGTGAGGCGTGGGAGTGCCTCGCCAGACAGAGAGAGAGAGCCGCAGAGCCCCCGCTGGGGGCTGGCTGGGGGCCTGAGGCCCCGCTAGAATGATTGCAAAAAAGAAACGAAGGGTGGTGCGTGTCGCGCGGTCGTGTCCCCCTCTCTCTCGCCCCCCTCGGCCTTGGTGAGCAGTCACACCCGTGCTCCCCGCCATCCATCCTCCCTCCATCGCCTGGAGAGAATGCTTATCAGCCACGAAAGGAGAGCGTGGCCGAGGGCTGCATAACATTCGATCGCAAGACCCCAGAAAGGCACCTCCGCCTCTCTGGGGAGAGAGGAGAGAGAGGAGTGGCCCGCACTAATCGACGACCCCTGTAAAGTGACTCGTTCGCTTTCCACCCACTGTGGTTTTGTGTGAGCGCTGCGTCTTGCTTTGCCAAATTCACCTCGTAAAAAAAACCACCCGCCGACGGTGAGAGTGGAGCTGGCCTGGGCGTCGCGACCATTCGGCGATCCTGCTCTCTGGCTGTGTGCCTGCTCCCGATCGCTGCGCAGGGACTCGGCGTTCGCAGCAGCAGTGCCCTCGCGCGCGCCGCCAGCCGCTCCGCCTTTTCGAGGCGCGCCCGTTTGCCACGAGCGCCGCCACCATGAACAGTGCCGCCATCGTTGATACTGACGGCTCACCTCCTTAGGCACCCGGCTCGCTTTGGCGCTATTGAGTGCGCGATGCCAAAGAAGCCGTACTATGGCGTCTGTGGCGGCCCCAGCCCGGGCGTCTACCTGTCGTGGGATGAGGCGCGGCAGGTCGGTCAAAACGTTCCCGGCGCGAGCGTGAAGAAGTTCGCGACCAAGGCCGAGGCGGAGGCGTACGCCGCCCCCAAGAGGGGCCCCATGGCCACGTCGCTCGGCGGTGGCGACAGCGGCGACGGCGGCGGGAGCAGCAGCGGCGACGCCAGCTCGTCCACCTACCTCGACTGCCCCTTTTCGGAGAAGGACGCTGCCAAGGCACTCGGCGCAAAGTGGGACGGGGCGCGCAAGGCGTGGTACGTGCCTGCCGGCGTGCCGCTCGCGCCGTTTGCGCGCTGGCTCCCCTCCGGACAGAGCGGCGGCGCTCCTGCCCAGGCAGCGCCCCCCGCGGCGGCTGCGGTGGGCGGCAAACGCTCCCGCAGCGCGCAAGAGGCGGGCGCAGCCGAGGCGGGTGCGGAGGCGGGCTCTTCCGGCTCCGCCGCCTCGGAGGATGAGCTGCTTCTGTACACCGACGGCGCTCGTGGCGACGCCTCGCGGCTCGCGGCCTCGACTCCTCCTCACGCGTCGCCTCTCCCTCTCCGCAGGCTCGTGCCCTAGCAACCAGAACGTCGCAACCTCGAACCTGCCTGCGGGGTGGGGCGTGGTGGTGGTGCGGGGCGGCGCCATCGCGGCCGAGCGGTACGGGCCCGTGGTGATCGACCCGGCCGACCCAACCTATCTCGGCGCCGAGGTTTGCTCCAACAACACTGGCGAGCTCTCTGCTCTCTGCGAGGCGCCGCCCGACCTGCTGACACCTGCTGCAGACCTCCGCCACCCTCCGAGACACTTCCGACACCTCCCACAGCCACTTCCTAAAGGAAGGGACTAGCCCTCGCCCTGACCCTGACCCTAGCCCTACCTTGGCCCTGGCCCCGACCCTCCCCCCAAGGCGCTCCTCTTTCTGAGGGACGAAGCCACGCCCGCCGGCCGTGCGACGGTGCGGTACGACTCCAAGTACGCGGCAAACATCGCCTCGGGCGCCTTCAAGGCGCACAAGAACAAGGCGCTCGCCGCCACCGCCCGCTCGCTCTACTCTGAGGTGGTCGGCAGCTGGCAGCTGCGGCTCGAGCACACCGCGAGGACCACGCATGCTCGCGCGAGCCCTCGTTGAGGGGCCGCTGTGAGGCCCGTCCTGTAGGCTCGAGCACGTCAAGGGCCACTCGGGCGAGAAGTGGAACGAGAAAGCAGATGAGCTGGCCAACAAGGGCGCCGCCGGCGCCCGCTCCGCCGAGGGCCGCTGGAAGAAGTGAATTGGCGGGCTTGGCCACGGCGGGCGAACAGCGCAGCGCCTTGCGAGGCGCTGCTCTGCCTACTGAAGCCCTGGCTGGTTCACGGGGAGCAGGGTGGATTAGGCATTTCACGGGACAGTTACTTCAGCGCAAGGTCAGTGTCGCGGGTTCGCGTTTTAGGGCGAGCTCGCGCGTTGCGATCGCATGTGAGGGAGGGGGGGGGGGGTGGGAGTTCTGGGAGGTCCCTCTCGGTGTACGGTTTGCACGGTGATGGTGTTCAGGTGATTCTCGCCATTGGCCCAATGTCTGAACATGTACATGTGCATCCCGAGTACACTGCAGAGCTGCGGCTCGAATTTGATTTCTGATTCTGTCCACCTCTCTGAAAAGTGACTCGTGGGGGGAAATGTTCGCGGCGTGCACCGTGTTTGTGTGTGGTGCGTTCTCGCGCAAACCGTTAGCTATTAGCACTTTTCACAGGGCCGCGCTCGCTGTGGCGCGAGAGGCCGCGGCCAGCGCGCCATGCTTGCCTAGAATCTGCTGCACGCGCGCGTCCAGCTGCTCGCGCGTCATGCGCAACGCTGCGGCGGCCGTCGGCGCGGCGGAGGGCAGCAGCTCGCACGAGGAGGGGCTCGCGGCGGAGAGAGAGGAGTCGCGCGTGAGGGGCGGCGCGATGCCCCTCGCGACCAGCTGCGCGTACGAGGCGGAGGCGGAGAGCGCCTCGTGCCCGCCCTGGCCCGGCCGAGCGAACCGGCAGAGAGCAGAGTCGACGGCAGAGGAGGTCGCTGCAGACCACGTCGCAACCGCCCCGGCAGGGCGCGACGGAGGCTCCGACGCAGCCAAGCTGCCGCCGCCGCTGAGCGCCTCCGCCACCGACGCCTCGGGCAGCGGGTGCACCCACTGCTGCGCCGGCGCCTCGCACGCCGCGGGCCGCGACAGCGCGGGCGGGGATCCGGAGGGCGCGGCTTGCGACATGGCGAAAAGGTCGGGGGGGGGGGCTCCGCCCATGCCGAGCGGCGAGCGGACGGCGGGGTGCGACACCACCTCCACCGACGAGAGGCGCAGCCGCAGCTCCTGCACCTCCGCCTACACGCAACGGATCGTGGACGGGTCGTGGACGTGTCCCGGGCGTGGCCAGACGTGCAGCCGGGTTGACTGCAAAGTCCGGCGCCTCGATGGCTTGCCTCCGGCGCCCCTCCTCCATCAGGTCGCCTCCCATCCGAAGCAGCAGCCGGCCGCACTCCTTGACCTTGTCCTCGAGCGCCGCGACCGCCGCCGCCCCGCCGCCCGAGAGGGCGACCTCTCTCGCCACGGCGGCCTCGATCTCAGCGGGCAGCCTGTCCCGCTCCTACTGGCAAGGGCTAGGCGTGAGGCGACGCCCTCCGAGGCAGGCTCGACCTCCGCCCCCTCCCCGCTCCTGCGCCACCGAGCAGCGCAGCTCTCCCAGCTCCGCCTCGACTGCCTTCCTCAGCTCGCGCTCTTTGAGAAGCGCCGTCTCGAGCTCCTGCAAGCCAAGGCAGGCAAGGCAGGCAGGGGCAAGCGGTGTCGGGCTCCGGCCTCCTGTAAGCCAGGCAGGCATGGGGCAAGCAGCGTCGGGCCCTCTCCACCGCCACCGCCCACCCGCCACCGCCCACCCGCCGCCCTCACCCCCCCTCCATTCCCCCCCCCCCCCCTCCCCTCGCCTGCAGCCGGCCGATTGTCTCGCCTGCCGCCGCCGTGTCGAGCTCCCCGGCGGCGACGCGCTGCCGCTCCGCTAGCGCGGAGAGCCGCTTCCCCTCCTCGGCGAGCGCCACCTCCGTCTCCGCCTTGAAGGCGAGCAGCTCCTGTTCACACCCGGAGGCTGTGAAGGCCCCCTCCTCCTCGCAGCGGGACCCCTGCCCCCAGCCCAGCTCGCTCTCCTGCTCGACCTGCCGCAGCACGCCGCCCTGCTCGACGAGCTCAGCCTGCCCGTCCCCGATCAGCCCGAGCAGCTCCTTGCGCGTCGCGGCGACCGACGCCTCCAGCCGCGTCGTCTTCTCCTCCCCGCCCGCCCGCAGCTGCCTCTCCGCCTCGATTGCGCCACTCACCGTCGCCTCGATCTCCTTCGCAAGGTCGACCCACCGCCGCTCCGCCTCGTGCAGTCCGTGCGCCAGCTCCTCGCGGAGCGCCTGCGCGTGCCGGCCCGCTAGGTTGCTGCGCAGGTCGATGTCTGCGCGTGTGTGCTCGAGCAGCCTCGTGGCCACCGTCCGAGCCTCGCCCGAGAGTCCCGAGGTGAGGGCGGCGATCACCGACGCGCTCGGCGGCGGCGAGGGTTCGATTGGCACCGTCGCCGCTGGCGCAGGCGTGCGGCGCTCCTCAGCGGAGGCCGCCGACGTCATGAATGAGGCGTGCAGCAGCGGCGCGGTGAAGGCCGCCTCGGCAACCCGCGGCACCTTGTAGAGCGGAGGGCCGGTCCTCGGCGCGCGGAGGTTTTCCTCTGTCCTCGCGATGATGCGCCCGATCTCGGCCTGCCAGAGCGGCCGTCCGCCCATGGTGGCGACGAGTGGCGGCAGTGGGGCCCAGCGTACCGCCGTTTCAGTCAACGGGGGGTCAAACCATCCCTCCCTTGGCTTGCCTGTTTTCTTTCTTTCTTTTTCCGTTTTATTTATTTATTTACGATGGGCCAAAATATGCCGCGAGGAGGGCAGAGCTGCGCCGAGCAGCGAGGGCAAGGGAGCGGCAGGCGGCGGCACCGTCGCAGGACGAGGCAGAGGAGAGCGAAGCGACAGAGGAAGAAGCGACCGACAAGGGAAAGATCGAAAGAACGACGAGAGTGGGACGACCGCGAGGTGGCATGAAGGTTGCAGCGAGAGTCGGCGAGAGACTGCGAGGAGAGATAGGAAGAGGCGGACGCCCAAGGGTGGGCGACGGCTAGCGCATCACACCCCTCTCCTTAAAATCCCTGTGTGGTGGCGGCGTGCCGTCCTCCCATCCCTCCCTTGTCTGTTTTCTTTCTTTCTTTCGTGCTCGTGTGCAGGTGGGGACGCTGTCCTCGTCCCATCCCTCGTTTTTTGTCTGTTTTCTTTCTGTCGTTCGGCGTGTTTTTCTTTCTTTACAGACGCCGTCCTCCCCTCCCTTGGGTTGGCGATCTGTTTTCTTTCTTTCTTTCTTTGAAACGCGCTTCACGTGAAATCCCTGTGTGGTGGCGGCGTGCCTTCCTCCCATCCCTCCTTTGCGTTCTGTCTCCCACGTGACTTGCGCTTATTAGTCACACAAACTGCGTGGCCAGGGAGTCGGCCAGCGGAGTAACGACACTGCCACCAGGCGGAGTAGTTTACCTTCCCTCTTCCCCCTTCCCTCGCGACCCTTCCCTTACCTGCACAATATGCCGCAGGCGTCGTAACTACATCCCGTCGGAGCAGTCCGAGGTCGAGTTCCAGCAGAGCTGGGCGCGCGCCACGCCCGTGTGTGCGCCGGGCGGCAGCCTCGGGCTGAGCTTGGCCATGGGAACCGGCGGGCGGCGCGACGGCTTCACGAGGCCCGACGGAAACGACGAACGAGCTTTGAGGGAGAGGGAGCTGGGCAGCCACGTCGCGCACGTCTTTTCCCCGACAGTAAAAACGAATAATTCAGGGGAAAGAACAGAAATCCGGGCTCAGGGAGCTCACCAGGGGCAGGGCTGGCCCAGGAGGCAGTGGAGAGCGCCGCAACAGTCTTGGAGTCTAACGGGTGTGGATGCTGGGTTGAACAAAATCGAGGGACGCGACCCACTTCGCCACAGACGGCCCCGCGCCTCGCCGCTATGACGGGGACACACCCCGCACCGTCCGCTGTGTCCCCGTCTTTGTCCGGAGTGAAAACTCCAACGCGCTCGTCGGTGGCGGTGTCCTCCAACCTGCGCCGCGCTCGGCGAACCTCGACAGCGCCTTCGGTGGCATGCAGCTCTTTGCGACAGAAGCCTGGAGAGCAGCTCCTCTGCTGCTCACACACTCTGCACAGCTGACACAGCCTACTGTGCGGCTGCCACAGCTGTGACAGCGATGGGCTCGCCCTCACTGGCCCTCAGTCACTTGTGCTGCGGCTTGTGTGAGCGACACTGCTCATCTCTGCTCGGCGACTGCCGGCACACTGTGAGACCATGGGTGTGAGGTGAAACCACGCTACCAGCGCTTGGTCACATCGGCCCCGAGGTCAGATCCATCTACTCTGTTGATGACAAGACTTGTCTACCGGCTGGAGCCGAGCAGGTGGAGGGCTTGGCGCACAACCCCTGTTCAACTCACCCTCCACACCTCCCGTACCGTACAGTGTACGACACGCGATCATGCATGCCCTCGGGAAGCCACATCACGGCCTCGCAACAACAAGAAGGCCCAGAGGTGCAGCAGCGGGGGCGGCCCGCAGGAAACAGTGGACCATGCACAAACCTCCACCGTCCCGGATTCGCCTCTCTCCACTCAGCAGCACTCTCGGATACGTCTGTGCACCACTTCACCCTTCTCATCACTGCCCCGGCGCCCACGCCTCGATCTTCTTGGGCAGCAGCTGGTTCGACAGGTCCTCTCCGTGGCCTAGGCCGCCGTGGGGGCCCTCGCCCCAGGTAAAGACGGCACCGTCGGCGGTGAGGGCGAGGCTGTGATCGCCTCCCGCCGACACAGCGACGACGCGCTGGCCAGCAAAGGCCTCGACCTTCATCGGCAGCAGCTGGTCCTGCTCGTCGCCGTGGCCCAACATGCCATAGCCTCCATAGCCCCAGCTCCAGACGCTGCCGTCGGCGGTGATGGCGAAGCTGTGCGCGCCTCCAGCCGACACGGCGGTGACGCGCTGGCCAGCAAAGGCCTCGATCTTCTTCGGCAGCAGCTGGCGCTGCTCGTTGCCGTGGCCCAGCCGGCCTTGGACTCCATAGCCCCAGCTCCAGACGGCGCCGTCGGCGGTGAGGGCGAGGCTGTGGTGGCCACCAGCCGACACAGCGACGACGCGCTGCGCCAACACCTCGATCTTCTTGGGCAGCAGCTGGTCCTGATAGTCGCCGTGGCCCAACCGGCCGTCCAAACCAAAGCCCCAGCTCCAGACAGCGCCGTCGGCGGTGAGGGCGAGGCTGTGGTGCTGTCCAGCCGAGAGAGCGAGGAGACACTGGCCAGCAAAGGCCTCGACCTTCTTGGGCTGCCACTGGTTCTGCTGGTCGCCGTGGCCCAGCAGCCCGGAGTAGCCATCGCCCCAGCTCCAGACGCTGCCGCCGGCGGTGAGGGCGAGGCTGTGGTGGCCTCCCGCCGACACAGCGACGACGTGCTGGCCCGCAAAGGCCTCGACCTGCTTGGGCAGCAGCTGTTCCTGCTCGTCGCCGTGGCCCAGCCGGCCTTGGACTCCATAGCCCCAGCTCCAGACGGCACCGCCGCCGGTGAGGGCGAGGCTGTGGTTGCCTCCCGCCGACACACTCACGGCGCGCTCGCCGCCCAGCGAGGAAGGGAGGCGGGTCGGCGTGTTGAGCCGCGTCACCCCCTCGCCGTGACCAAGGAGGCCTGCTGGGCCACCCGCGCCGCCGCACGACGAGAGCCGCCCCTCGCCGTCGATGAAGAGGCTGTGCCGAGCGCCTGCCGCCGCCCTCGCCGGCGGGTTGGACTCGCGCAGCAGCGCAGAAAAGCACAGCCACCGCACGGCGCAGCTCTCGCCCTCCGGCAGCGCCGGCAGCTCGTAGCCGGCCTCTCGCAGGCGCAAGCGGATGCCCTCCAGCGCAAGCGAGGCGTGGAAGAGCAGCGAGACGGCCGCGACGCGAGCGATGTCGGCGGGGTCGCAGCGAGAGATGGAGCGCACGAGGAGCTCCGTGGGGAGGTCGAGGAGGCGGGTGGGCGGCGGCGTGTCTGGAGAGGGGGCGGCGGTGGAGGCGGGGGCGAGGCGGCGCGAGCGGCGGCGCGGCGGGGTGGACATCGCGAGAAAAAGAAGTCTCCGAAAGGGGAAAAACAGGGGCATTTTTCGGTAAAATTCCACTGTGAAAAAGACAGAAAAAAGAAAAAACGCGAGCGCCGCGCGCGTAGGCGGCGCGCAGCGCCGCCGCAGGCGGCGGACAGCAGGTGCGCAGAATTAAACGCCATTTTCGGTTAATAAAAATCTCTCTCTCGGTTCCGCGGTTTTGCCACTAACATCAAATGTCGGGATGATTGATTGATTTGACTACATGCCCGCCATGGCCCATGCGCAGGCCAGCGCCGCGCTGTGATACGCATAGAGACGACCCGACCTCTCTGAACTAAGCCAGATTACTACGAACGAACGCGTAGCGCGCGGCGGGGAAGTCAACGGGGCAGCCGGCGGCCTGCCGGCGGCGGCCGGCCGCGCCCGAGGCGCGAGGGCGTAGACGGGTCACAAATTGCCCGGGACGGCTGGTCACTTGGTCTCTGACGTAGGCCACGCACATGCACATTAAGCGGTGACATGAACTGATTGTTAAAAGAGCCGGTCCGCGAAATTAAATGCCATTCTCCAGATATCCATTTTAGCACTATCTTCGAAATCCCGGCCGGTACTGTTTTAAGACTCCCGTATCGGCCGCGTGACGAGGGCCCACGTGCCGACCCACGCCGCCTCACGAAATTCATGGCACTGGTCAGGCCCATACCGCCCATCCTGACAGGAAGTCGGGCCTGCTGAACAGCGTGCAGCCACCGTGGGCTGTTGCGTCCGACCCGCGCGCCACCCACGAGGGTGTAGAGCGCCCCCTCCATCAAGCGGTCGTGCTCGCGCGCGACGTCCTGGGTCACTGACGGCGGCATAGTGCGAAGGAAGAAAGTGAGCGCGAGAAAAAGAAACGCTCCATTAGTCTTATTGTCGCTCATGTGTGGCCGTCACCGCCCGTCTTGCGTCCACCCATACCGCGCTGGTAAGGTAGGTAAGGTAAGGTAAACTTCTCCACACACACGAGGTGGTGGGGCAAGGGGGGGCAACCCTCGCGTCTCCACGTCTAACGACAGGAGCCCCACGGCATTCAAAGTGCAAGGCCCGGTGCGCGTGGGTGAGCGGTGTGTGTGTGTGTGTGTGTGTGTGTGTGTGTGTGTGTGTGTGTGTGTGTGTGTGTGTGTGTGTGTGTGTGTGTGTGTGTGTGTGTGTGTGTGAGGGGGGGGGTGTCACGTCACTGCATCCTCTGCCGGTTCCTCCCGTCGCCTCTTCTTTGTTCGAAAATGTTTTTCAATCCATCTATGGCTCCTACAGATAAAATAAAATGACCATTCTCGGTGTCCAAAGCCCCCAAAACCTATCCAAACCTTATTTATTCGACGAACCAGACCTCCCCCGGACGCGGTGACATGGGGTGACATCGGGAGAGAGAGATTTAGCAATACCTTAAAGAGAGGTTACAGGCGGGGTAAGATCCGATAGCGGGAGATCGGCGGGAGCTGCGGACGTTTCGAATTCGGCGGGAGCTGCGGACGTTTCGAATTCGGCGGGAGCTGCGGACGTTTCGAATTTGTCGACGGACCGCTTCAGGTCTCTGCGCTCCCGTATGAGCGAGGCTGCCGACGCTGCCATGATCGAGGCTGCCGACGCCGAGCTGCGCGACGACCCGCTGAGAGACGGACCGCCCCGTGGACGCGGCGGCGGCGGCAGAGCGAGAGAGATCGGCGAAGGCGGTCAAGCTTGCTGCGCAGACCGCCAACGCGATGTTCGCGGTGCAGGGGCAGCTCAAGTTGCGGGGAAAGGCAGCAGACGAGGCCGCGCACGACGCCAACGCGGAGGCGGGAGCGCCGGTGAAGGCGTCGTCTATGATGGTCGAACGAGTGTTCGCCGCCCGCCTCGACGGTCCGGACAAATTCAATACCAAACAACTCTAACACTCACTCATCATTTGGGGCCTGGAGCCCTGTTCACGCGCGGTTTGACATCGGTGCTGCTCCCTACTCGACTAACAACAACCTAAGAGGAAAGCTGGCTGCACCCGCATTGCTTCCCCGTCCTCTTGCGACGCAATCGCCACGACGCGGCGCAAAGTGCTCACATTACGACGCACCCGGACGTGAGGACGACGCCTCCACCTTGCCGTCTGGCGAGATGGTCTTTTCCACCTTGCCCCAGGCCCTCGCTCGGACGGCCCGCCTGGCCGTCGGAGCGCAGACAGTAGGACGCGTGCTGCCCCGCCAAATTGCACGTACGCCTGCCCAGGCGGCGGGTTGATTGAGCGTGTTGCTCACCTTGCCGCCTCCCGTCGTGCGTGCGGTCTATCTATGGCGCCTCCGAGCGCAGCAGGTAGGACCCGCCGCGTCGATCGAGGCAGGACACCGCCGTGTACGAGACGCCGGCGGGCGGCTCCATCGTCACCGTCGACGTCTTTCCGGTCGGTCCTGGGGAAAAAGAAAGAAACACACCCGTCGCAGGCGCTCGCAGAAGTGGCGCAGCCAGCTTACCTTTTCAGGATGCTCTCCGCACTGGAGCGGCTCATCATATGGCTCCTCCGTCCGATCCTTCGCCGGCTGCTCGGCCGCAAGGCCTCGAGCGTGGACATGGAGCTCCAGTCCGGCGTGCTGCGGCTCAGCGACGTCGAGCTGTCGCGAAAGACGCTCGCCGGCCTCAGCCTGCCGCTCACCATCTCCAGCGCGACGGTCCGCAAGCTCGAGGTGCTGCTGCCGTGGCGGAAAGGCGTGCAACTCTCGACGCCGTTCGTCGTGCGCATTGATGGCGTCTCCGCCGTCCTGTGCGCTCGGATGGAGGCGGCGGACGAGGCGGTGGGCGAGGGGAGGAAGCAGCAGCACGAGTCCCAGCCGCAGCCACGGGCGGAGCAGCGCGAGAGCTCTCGGGCGTGGCTGGCGCGCCGCAAGGCTGCGCGGCTCGGCGCCACCGCCACTGCGAGCAAGGAGCCGGCGGCGGCCGAGGAGGAGGCGCCGCCGCGGCTCGACGCCGCACAGCAGCGGGCGCTGCTGGACATGGTGCTTCGGTCGCTGACCGTGACCATCACCAACGTGAGCTTGCGGCTGGAGGAGGGCTCTGGCAGCGTGGCGGAGAGCGGCGCTCCGGCCCGGTCGGGCGCCCGCCTCTCGTGGCTCGAGGCGCGGCTCGAGGCGGCGAGCCTGCGCTGCAGGAGGGACGCGAGGCTGCCCGGTCTGCTCGCGGTGATTCCGCTGCCGGCGTGGCTGCCGTGGCTGTCGCGGAGAAAGGCGGCTGGCTCGCGCGAGCAGGAGGCGGCCATCGAGCTCGAAGCGACCGTCTCTGCGCGCTGGCGCGACGGCGAGGGCGAGGCGGGCGGAGCCGCCCCAGAGGCGGAGAGCGCGGTGCTGCTGCAGCCGCTGCACTTGCGGGCCTCCCTCGACGCCTCGCTGCGCTGGCCCGCCCCCGAGGAGGAGGGCGCGGCGGGGCAGCCGGCCGGCGCGGCCTCGGGCGCGGCAGCCGGGCCTCGCCTCTTCCTCCGGGGCGGTGCAGAGGCGAGCGAGGCGAGTGTGCTGCTGCCGGCCGCGGCCCTCGAATTTGGAGTGCGGCTCGCGCGGCGCGCGGCCCACGCCGAGTCGCTCGAGCGGCACCGCCACTTGCGTCCGCCGGTGCGCGTCAGTCACCCGAGAGGGGTGGCGGCCGAGTGGTGGCGGTACGCGGGCACGGCGGTGCTGCTCGACCTCGGCGAGGGGAGGAGGGCAGCCTCGGCGGCAGAGGTCCGGAGGAGGGCGGGCGCACTCTCGCAGTACGAGGCGGAGCTGCTGCGGCTCGGCTGGGGGGCGGGCGGCGAGCTGCCCACGCCGAGCGCGGTGTTGCTCGCTGCTGCAGAGGGAGAGCCCATCCCGGCGAGGGCGGCGCGTCTCTCAGCCGGCTCTTGTCTCTCGCGTAGGCTCAGCTCGCCCTCGAGGAGCAGCTCGACGAGCGGCTGCTGCTGCGGGCGAGGGAGCGGGCGGCGGAGAAGCGGGCGGCGGAGAGGGCAGCGGGACAGAGAGCCAGGAGGGAGGGCGAGGCGCCACCGACCTCCCCCGACCGAGGCGGCGGCAGCGGGAGTGGCGGCGGCACCAGCACCGATGGTGAGGCAGGGCTCGAGCGGCTGCAGCTGAGCGCTTCGCTCAAGCTCACCGCGCGAGGCGTGTGCGTCTGGCTGCCGCTCGCCGCGCCTGGTGAGCGGTTCGCGGCGGGAGAGGTCTCTTTGAAGCCGCGCCGCGGCAGCCCCTCGGCTTGCGCCGCTTCGCTCGGTCTCTCCGTCGGCCGGGTCAGCGCGGACGTGGACCATTGCCTCACGCGTGGCGACGCGGGCAGCTCCTCCTCCTCGGGCGGCGGCGAGGTGGGCACCTCCTCCCGCGTGAGCGCCGGGATCGAGGCGGTCTCTGTCTTCTACACCGGCTTGTCTACCGGCTTGTCTGCTCGCTCGGGCCCGGGCGAGGGAGATGGCGCAGGATACCTGCTGCGGGTGGCGCCGGCTGCTCTCACCGCCCCGAGCGCGCCCCCGTCCCCGCGCGCCGCCGCCGCCGCCGACCCGGCATCGCCGCACAGCCCCTCTGCCCTCCGTCGCTCCTCCTCGCTCGCCAAGGTCTTGTCTGGCGCCGCACCCTCCGCGCCGCCGCCGAGGCGCCGCAAGTCAACTGACCTGACGACCCCCCCGCGCGACTTTGAGGCGGGCGGCGGGCGAAGCCACGCGCCTGGCGGCGCCGAGACGGCTCCCGCGCTGCAGCTGACTGCAAGCCTGGAGACGAGCGGCGGCGCGACGACGCACGCCACCGTCGGCTTGTGCGTCGCCCACCCGACGACCCTTTCCCTCGAGCTCGGGCTCCTCCCGCTGCTCGCAAGCACCGCCGCCGCGCTGCGACCTCCGCCGGCACCAGCGCCCTTCCGGCTGCATCCCCGGGAGGAGGAGGAGCACCTCGCCGCAGCCGTCGAGCGACTGGCGCGGCGCGACCTCGACCTCGCCAGAGTGCCGGATGCAGACAAGGGGCTGACCACCCCCCCGGCCAGCCCCCCAGCCGCGGCGAGGATGATTGGCGTGCAGCTGGACGTGGTGTCGCCGGTCTCGGCACACCTCTCCTCGGCGGGGATGCCGCACCTCCACACGCCGCTGCTGCAGCTTCCCCGGCTGCACCTCTGCGCCGCCTCCTCCCCGGCCACCCCTCCCCGCGCCTCGCTCCACGTGTCCGCAGCAGTCTGCTGGGCGAGGCTCGGCGCGCTCGAGCCCCTCCTCCCGGCGGGCGGAGCTGCGACCGCTCCGGCGCCGTCGCTTGTGCGCTCGCGCCTCTCCTCCTCTTTCAACTTGCCCAGCCCGCGGCCGTCTCACCAGCGGCCGCCCGGCTCCTCCTCGCCGATGATCGAGATTCGCGGGACCACCCTCGACCTCGCGGCCACGCCGCCTCTGCCCGACGCGCGCCCGAGCACCGTCTACACCACCACCCTCGACCTCGGCGCCGCCCACAGCCCCGCCCCCGCACCGTGCCCGTCCGATGGCGCGGCCGACTCGGCGCCGCACGCGTCCCCGCACACGCCGAGGCAATCGCCGCGGAGGCAGGTCTCGCTGCTGCGGCAGGTCTCCTCGCTTCTCTTCGAAGAGAGCGGGGACGAGGCGTCGCCGGCAGGGGGGCGGCACGACGGCCGCTCCACGGGGCTCGCCTCGAGCTTCTCGCACTCGCTCAGCTTTCTGCAGCGGCGGCGGACGCCGTCGTCTTCGCCGCTGCCTCTCCCGCCGCCGCCGCTGCCGCCGGCCAGCACGCTCTGCGGCTCGGGAGGAGCCGCACCCTTGCTGGAGCCCTTCGAGCTGAGCCTCTCGCTCGAGCTCCCGCAGCATGCGCGGGAGGGGAGCAGGCGCAGGTCCTGCCCCGGCGCAAGCAGGCAGAGCTCTCTCTCCGACGCCGACCCCTTCGCCGACCTATACAGCGAGGACGAGGAGCCCGAGGAGGACGGGAATGCGGGAGCCTCAGCCTCTGCCCCCTCGCCGCCTGCCCGCGGACCGAGAGGAGAGAGCAGTTTGCCAACCCTCTCCGTGGTGGGCGCGTTGCCGCCGCTCCGAGTGCACGCCGGCAGCCAGATGCTCCTCGAGGCGCTCGAGCTCGGCACGCACCTCGCGAGTCTCGCCGCGCCGCTCGCGCCGAGCCACGCAGGCGACCGCCACCCTGGCGAGACTGCCGCCGCCGCGACGGTGGCGAAGGCACCGACCGCGGAGGGTTCGGGCGGGCTCGGTGGCTTGCTGGAGCGCGCGAGCGTCCGGCTGCAGCTGCGCGAGATCGAGGTGAGCCTTGCTCTCGCTGACACACTCGCCGACCGGGAGGACGACATCGACGCGGGCGGCGGCGGCGAGCGCAGGCGCGCAGCCGAGCATTCCGCAACGGGGCCTGAGGAGGGGGAGGCCGCGACCGCTTCGCTGGTGGTGAGGGTCGCACCTCTCGACGTCGACCTAGCCGCTGATGCCTCGGGCGTGGAGCTCAAGGTCGCCGTCGGTCGGCTGCTCGTGCTCGACCGCCGGCGCGGCGTACCCGCCGCAGCCTCAGCTGCGCTGGACGTCGAGGCGGCGGCGGCGGCGGAGATGCCGCTAGGCGTGCGCGTGGCGGTAGAGGGTGGACGTTGCGTCTCTGACGAGGCGCGCTCTGACGCTGCGTGCATGCCGACCTCGCCGCTGCTTTGCTTGCGCAAGCGGCGGGAGGAGGCCGAGGGGGGAGGCAGCACGAGCCTGGTGGTGCTTGCCGACGCGTCGTCTGTGCAGCTGGGCTGGAGCCCCGGGCTGGTTGCCGTGTGCTACCGCACGCTGGGCGAAGCCAAGCAAGCCATCGCTGAGGCGGAGGCGGACGTACGACACGCGCTGGGGCGTGCCGTCGCGCCAGCCGAGGCACCGCATTCGCCCTCGCCGAGTCCGCCGCAGGCCTCGAGCGGCGCGAGGAGTGTCGAGGTGGACGCGCGCGTTGGCGTGCTGAGCTTGGCGCTCCGCGCAGAGCCGCTGCCGGGCCCGTGGCCTGGTGCGGACTGGGACGTCGCAGCTGGTGAGACCTTCGAGGTGGTGCTGCCGTTCGAAGGCCGGCCGGCGCCGCCGATCGTGCTGATTCTGGCCGACGCCCTCCGTCTGGAGCTCCGCCGTGCCGTTCCTGCGGGTGGCGGGCGGACCGACCTCAGCCTTGCCATCGCCACTTCCGTACGCGAGCTCTCTGTCCCAGAGGACCAGGGGTCTCGAGCAGCCAGCTTCTCCATGGTGGCGCCGCTGCCAGCCTCCGACTCGCCCGCTTCGGCCCGTCGCGTCGACGGCGCCACCTTCCGGCCGGGTGGGGACGGCGGGGATAGCGGGGATGGTGGCGGGGATGGCGGCGGCGGCCTCGGTCGTTTGGGCAGCAGCGGTGTCAGCAGCAGTAGATCCAGCGGGCTCAACGCTGCTCGTAGCGCTCAACACAGCGCGACCGAGAGGGCTGAGGCGCGCGTGCTGATTCAGCAGGGCAGCGCTACTGCGGGCGTGCTCGACGTCACGGTGGACGTTTCGCCCGTCTGCTTTGACATGCGCATCGCGCCGATGCTGCGCGGGATCGAGTACATCGAGCGCGGGATTCGCAAGCCGCTGTCGAGGCTCGCGCTGCTTGGCGCGCCGCTGCCGCCGCCGCCACAACGCGACGCCGCCGAGAGCGCCGCCGCCGCCACGCGCCGGCCGCGCTGGCGCATCAACGTGCCGAGCGCGCTCCTCATCATGCCCACCGTCTCCGATGGCGCCCTCGAATTCCGTGCGGTCGACGTGAGCGTCGCCTCGACTTCGGTGAGTGAGTCGACGCTGCTCGACCTCATCACCGTGCGCGCCCGCCGCATGCGTTGCACTGCCGTCCACCCACCCGGGCGCGGCCCGCGCCGCTTGGCCGCCCTGAGCATGGTGGAGGAGCTGCCAGAGCTGTCTCTCACGCTGCGCAAGCCCCTCTCGAACCTCGCCGCGTCGAAGGCCAACGTCCCGCTGCAGCAGCTCGACATCAACCTCCCTGACGCGACCGCGCACCTCGGCCTCTGCCCTGCCGACGTCGCGCTGCTGCTCGGGGTCTGGCTCGACAACCTCAACGTGTTCCCGCTGCTCCCGAAGGGCAAGGTGGAGTTCGACCGCCGCAAGACGGTGATGATGCGGATCTGCGTCCGCCTCACGCAGGCGGCGCTCTGGCTGCACGATGTCGAAGGCCACCGCGCCCTGCTGCGCCTGCGACTCGACGACGTCCGCGTCACCGTCTCAAAGGCGCTCGACACAAAGACGCAGATCTCTGTCACCCTCGGCAGCCTCTCGGCGCACGTCAACGCCGTCACGGCCGACGGGGATGCCGCCTGGCTCCCGATGCTCGCTCCTCCGCTCGACGGGCCCGCGGCGGCTGCAGAGGCGAGCGCCGCCGTCGGCGCCGCGGCCGAAGCCACAGCGGGCGCCGCCACTCCCAAGGATGCAGACGGCGCCAGGCCCGCGGACACCGGCGTGGCCATTGCGGTTGCGACCAAGGGCGAGGAGCCAGACGAGGTGGACATCTCGCTCGGTCGGCTGTGCGTCTCCCTGCACGCCGAGCCGCTGATGCGCCTCACAGAGTTCGGCGCGTTCGCGGGCTCCTGCTGCAGCGCGGTGCTGGCTGCGCGGGAGGAGCGCCTCGCGAGCCGGAGGTCGGCACAGTCTCCCCATATCTCCCCTGATCTCGCGAGCCGGTGGTCAGCGGCCGCTCAGGGCGCGTCGTCGGTGGGCTCGAGCGCAGTCGTCGAGAGCACGGTGGGCTCGACGCTCCGGCTCGCGGTGCCGATGATCCAGCTGGTGGTGAGCGAGCCGAGCCCCGCGGCGGTGCGCGACGCCGACGGGACGTGCGACGACGGCGGGGGGGCGGGCCCTCTGCCGATGAGCCTGCACTGCGCGCGAGACGTCTTGCCTCGCATAATTGCGCTGCACTTTGGCCTCACCCTCGAGCTCTCCAAGGCGGCCGCCAACTACGACGAGGCCGCGGCGCAGTCGAAGACCGAGCAGATGACGCTCGTCCTCCGCCACCACCACGCGTGCGCCCCCCTCGGCTACCACGAGCTGCCCGCGCCCGACGCGACGCTGCTGTCGCCGGCAGCCCACGAGGCGCGCGCGCCCGGCGGACTGTGCACGTTGCGGGCGCTGCCCTCGGCCGCCGACTCCACGGCGGCTCTCCTCGAGCCCTTCAAGCTCCACGCCTCCCAGTCTCAGCGGCTCAGCCGTCGGCACGCCTCCCTGATGCTCGAGCAGCCGATCCGCTTGTCGCTGTCGCGCGAGACGCTCGTCCTCGCCGCCGCCGCCGCCGCCGCCTACGAGCACGCGGCCAGAATCGCGCCGCTCGAGATGCCGCAGCCGTGTGTGCCGACGCCCCTCACACCGACCAAGCCGGCTGCCCTCGGCACCGGGTCCAGCAGCGCCAGCTTGGGCGTCGCACCCGACGAGCAGCTCAGCGCGATCGGCTCCATCCCCGGTGTCGAGGTGACGCTGCTCTCTGCCGACCGGCTGCCGCTGCCACTCGTGCAGCTCGCTTTGGGGGGCGAGGGGCAGCCAATCACGGTCGCTGTCGAGCAGGCCTCCTCGGCCCTGCCGCTCCTCGCGGAGGCGTGCGTGCCGCTGAGCGCTCGTTGGCACAACGCGGGGCTGCTCTGCTGGGAGCCGCTCATCGAGCCGGCCGACATACAGCTCAAGGCGCAGCAGTCGTCGGCCGGGAGCGCGCTGACCACCATCAACGTCGGGCTCTCCTCGCCGCTCGAGCTCAACCTCAGCGACTCGATGCTCCGCGATGCGCAGGTCAACTTGCGCGCGGGACTCGCCGCGCGCGCCGTGCGCCTCGCCCAGTGGGCGCCGGCGCTGCAGCGCGATTCCAACGGCGACGATCCTGCGAGCGCGGGCGGGGTCGGGGTCGGGGGCAGCAGCGGGGGCAGCAGTGCGGCCGGCGGGGGGAGCGGCGCCGCGCAGTACTGGATCAGCAACGAGACAGGCGAGTCGCTCGACTATTGGGCGACCGAGGGAGAGACCGGCAGCGGGCCCGAGAGAGACGGCCAGCAAGGCTTCGGCGGCGGCGGAGGCAGGTGGGGCGGCGACAAGAGCGGCGGCCGAGAGGTCCGCGCTCCGCCCGATGCGCCGTGCCGCCTCGCGGCGGGCGGCACCGCGAGGCTCGACCTCTGGGACCGCGCGGCCGCGGCCCGGATGGCGGTGGGCGGCTGGTGCGAGGACTTGCCGCGGCGGCTGACGGTGCAGATCGAGGGCGCGGCGCCCTTCGCCGGCCTCGTCGTCAACCAGCCAGGCACGAGCGTGATTCCGGTGACGGTGGCCGACGAGGGCGCCGCGCCGGCGCCTCTTGCCCGCGCGCTCGTCTGCGAGGTGGAGGACCGGGACGGCGGCACGTGGCTCGTGATCCGCTCGATGATGAGCCTCGTCAACTGCACCCAGCGCACGCTGGCGGTGGACATGGACCTGCCCGGCGAGCCGCTGCAGCATGCCGGGCTGCTGCGCCCGGGCGGCGGCACGCTACCCGTCGCGCGCTCGCACCTGCAGGGCGGGCTTCGCCTCGTCGACTGTGGCGGCGGCGAGCCGCTGTCCGCAGCGGTGGCGGCGGCGCTGGACGCGGCGGACGTCTCTGCGGCGCTCGGCACCGCTCCGCCCCACCTGTGGCTGGGCGCGCTGCTGATGCACGACGAGCCGCCGCCCGAGGCGGAGGAGGAGGCGGCGTGGCGCAGCCTGAGCGGGGCGCCCGAGTCGGAGCACCTCGTCAAGCTCGTCACGTGCACGCTCAGCGCCTCGGAGGCGTCCGTCTTGAGCAAGGCGACGGCGACGGCGCACGCCGGCGACCTCTACCTCGGCTCGGCGGCGCTGTACTTCCTCGGCAGCCGCACCGCCTTCGTCAAGGAGCGGCGCGAGCTCTCCCTCCCCTACTCCAGCATCGCCGACGTGCGGAAAAAGTCGGGCAAGCTCCCCGCCTCCAAGGGCATAACGCTCACGCTCGCGGGCGGGCGCGGGCCCGCGTCGGTGGTGCTCACCGGCTTCGCGGCGCCCAACCACGTGCGCCACCTGCTTGAGACGCTCGTCTCGCGCTGCTCACCGCTGCTCGCGCGCGAGCGGCTCACCGAGAACGTCGCGCTGCGCTCCAAGTTTGGCCTCGAGCACGACCCGTCGCTCTTCGTGCTCGCCGAGTTCGGCTGCGCGCTGGTCCACGCGGAGGGCTCCTCGAAGGGCAAGCTGTACGTGACGCAGCGCTACCTCTGCTTCAAGGGCTCGCTCTTCGGCCGCGAGACGCGCGCGGTCTACGCCTTCGACGAGGTGCTCTCGGTCGAGCCGTGCGAGTCGCCGGCGCCAAACTCGATCTCGCTCGCCTGCACCACGTCGGAGGAGCGCTTCACCTTCTTCGGCGCGCGCGCGCCGGTGCTCGCGATCCTCTCGCAGATGCTCGCCGTCTCGCGGGGCGACCACCTCCTGCCGACAGAGATGGGCGCCGCCCCGAGCGCGCCGCCCGAGCTCACGCCCTCGCCCTTCCTCGAGCGGCCGCGCGTGCCGCTGCAGCCCTTCGTCGTGCGGCCGCTGCCACTCGGCGAGCGATGCCACCTGCTGGCCACGTGCTGGCGCTTTCCCGTCAAGGCGACCTCCGTCACCGGCTGCCCGGCCACGGTGCTGCTGCAGGCCCCGGCGGCGGTGCAGAACCTGCTGCCCGAGCCGCTCGAGTGGCGCATCACGAGCGGCCGCGGCGAGCCGCCCGTCGCCCGCGACGAGCTGCCTCCCCACGGGGAGCTGCACGAGATCTGCTGCATGGTGGCCGGAGGCAGGTACGCGCTCCAGCTGCGGCTGCCCGGCTACGACTGGTCCTCGCCCATAGACCTCGACTCGCGCGGCCGGCTCGCTGCCGCCGACCGGTTGGAGATGGTGCGGCTTCGGCCGCGGCAGCATGTGCGGCAGGAGTTCGCCGAGGTCGGCTTGGAGGAGAGCAGCGTCGGCAGCGGCGGCGGTGGCGGTGGCGGCGGCAACCGGCTCGAGAAGCGGCAGAATGGGCGGCGGCGAGACAAGAACTCCGTGCTCCGGCTGCTCGTGCAGCTCCGGTCGGGATGCCGCTGCGCTCGGCAGCTGCTTCAGGTCTACGCCACCCACTGGCTGATCAACGGGACCGGGCTCACCCTGGAGTTTCGCATCGGCGGCAAGCCGGCGCGCGACCGCAAGGCTCTGATCGACGCACCCGACGCGGCGGCCGCTGCGGAGCTAGGACCCGACTTGGGCTCGCCCGCCTCCGAGGCCACCGCCGGAGCGCACGAGGGGCCGCACCGAAAGCCGCTCTCGCCATCGAAGTCGGCGGCCGACGTCGCCGCCGGCGGCGTGCGCGACGTCGCCGCCGCCGCAGTGCACGCCGCCGCGGCCGCCGCGTCGGCAGCGGCCGCTGTCGTCACGGAGGAGGCGCGCGCCGAGGAGGAGGAGTCGCGGCTCAACGACAACCAGACGCTGCTCCAGTCGGTCGGGCCTGGAGCGCGCCACGCGATCGCAGTGCGCGTCGCGCCCGACGCGGTGATGCGGCAGGCGCCCCTCGCGCCGTCCGGCGGCGGGCGGCCCGGCGAGGCGGACGGCGGCTGGTCGCCCTCCTTCTCGCTGCTCGTCGGGCTGGGCCAGCTCGAGCTCGGCGCGAGCGCGGCGCGCTCGCTGCGCGCCGGTCGGTACGACCTCGCGCTCCACCTCGCGCCGCTGCAGGGCGCCGACCACGGCCGTATCAAGGTGGTCACGTTTGTGCAGCGCTTCTGGCTGAGCAACCGCGTCGGGCTCGCGCTAGAGTGCGAGCAACACGACCCGAAGAGCGGCGGCCTCGGCAGCACCGCGAAAGCGGCAGCGGCGGCGCAGGAGCCATCCGACGCAGACGCCGCCGCGCGCGCCAAGGCGAGTGGGCGCGAGCGCAGCACCTCGCGGATCATCAGGCGCACGCGCGAGGTTGTGCCGCGCGATCGCACCGCCGCTCCGCTTGCAGCGGGAGAGCGCGCGCCGTGGCACTGGCCGTCGACGAAGGAGGAGTCGCTGCTGCGCGTGCGGCCGGCGCCCGGCCAGGGCGAGCGAGGCTTTGTCCCCGGCCCAGACGAGGGCTGGTCGAGCGCCTTTCCGATCGACGCGCCGGGCAGCTTCCTCGTCTTTTGCTGGCAGGGCGTCCCCCCCGAGGAGGAGGGCTGGTGGCCGTCCCTGCTCCGGCTGCTCGTCTCGGTCGAGCTCGTCGACGCGCGCATTGAGGTCACCTTTGAGCTCGCACCGCCCTCCGTCCCGTCCCCGATCCGCGTCGACAACCAAACCTCGTTCGTCGCCACGTTTTGGCAGCGCGGCGTCGAGCGCGCGGCTGCCTCACCGCACCGCGTCGCCGCCAGCCGCGCGGCGCCCTTCGCATGGGCGGAGTCGGCGTTGGACCACACCCTGTGCGTCTCACTCCACCGCTCGTCGGAGGCGGGGCGGGCCCACGGGGCGGCGGTGCCCGTAGTCGAGGCCCAGCCAGTCAACCTCGACGCCTTCGACCAGTCCCTCGCCCTTGGCTCGCACCGACCGGCCGCGGCCCGTGGCGTGTCCACCGACAGCGGCCGGCCCAGCGCGGAGGAGGAGGGCGAGGACGAGAGCCTCCTGGAGAGGTCAAACAGCCGGCGGCGGAAGGGCTCGAGCTCGCGACGGCAGGAGGAGACGGTGGCGTGGGCGACTGTCGAGCTGCTCGACGGCGTGCGCGTTCTCACGCTGACGGAGGAGCGGCCGCCCGCCGCGATGTCGAGCCTCTCGGTGGACGAGGCGAACTTGATCATCGTCGTCGACGTCGTCGGCGTCGGCCTGTCGGTGGTGCACGCCGCGGGCGGCGAGGAGTGTCTCTACGTCTCCGCTACCGGCCTCAAGCTGGACGCCGTCCTCTCCACCACCGCCGCCACCTTCGAGTTTGCCCTGTCCTCGTTTCAGATCGACAACCAGCTGCAGTACGCGACGCTGCCGGCGGTGCTCTCCCTCGCGGACCCGAATCCCAAGCCGGGCACGCACGCGCTGCACCTCTCCGTCGTCAAGCAGCTCCGCGCCGCGGGCGCCGCCGTCGACTGGTGGGAGTACGCCTCATGCCGTCTGCTCGAGCTCGAGCTCGCGGCCGAGCCGATCCTAATCCAGGCCCTCCTCGACTTTGCCTACGCTGCGCGGCTGCCCAGCCTCATCCGCCTCCTCAACGGCTCGCAGGCGGTGCAGCCGCCCGCATCCCCTGCGCCGCAGCCGGTCGTCGCAGCGGGACCGGCCGGCAGCGGGATCGGGGGGGGCACGGCCGACGCGGCGGCGCCGCAGCCGCCCCTCGTCGCGAGGCAGCAGCGCCGCCGCGGCGGCGGGCTCAACCGCTCCGCGCGCGACCTGCTGCGATACGGGGCGCCGCAGCGGCTGCAGTACTTCCGGAGGCTCGAGCTGCACCCGGTGCGGCTCTCGATCACGTTCCACCACAACAACAACCTCGGCCTCGAGCGCGGCGCCCCGCTCCTGCTCGTGCCGATCCCGCACATCGACGACGCGGCGATCCACCTCTCGGCGCTGCTCCGCGAGCACCTCGTCGGCACGGCCGAGGAGCTCGCCCTCACGCTGCTCAACCACTACAAGTTCTCGCTGCTCCGCCAGCTAATGCTCGTGCTGCTGCAGGTGGACATGCTCGGCGACCCGGTCGGCTTCATGCGCTCGTGGGGCACCGGCGTCAAGGACCTGTTCTACCTGCCCGCCAAGGCGGTCGTGCAGCGGCCGCGCGAGTTTGGCCGCGCCGTCGCCGCCGGCAGCGCCTCGTTTGCGAAGAACAGCATCGGCGCGCCGATCAACTCAATCGGCAAGTTTGTCGGCGGCCTCGAGCGGGCCACGGACCGCGCGCTCGCCGCGATGGACATGGGCAAGAGCGGCGGCCGCTGGGCGCAGGCGCGCGAGTCGGAGCGGCGCCACGGCCTCGACTCGCGCGGCGCCAAGGCGGCGGCCAAGGAGTCTGGCCGCCACCTGGTCGACGGGACCACCAAGCTCGGCCTCGGCATCCTCTCTGGCGTGGTGGGCATCGTGCGCGAGCCGGTCAAGGGGGCGATGTCGGACGGCATGCGTGGCTTCTCCATCGGCGTCGGCAAGGGCATCGCCGGCGCGGCGATCCGGCCGACGGCAGGCGCGCTCGCCTTCGCCTCGGGCATGACGGGCGCCGTGCAGGGCCTTGGCGGCGAGACGGAGGCGACGTCGACACACTCGGCGCGGGTGGGCAGGCGTCGCCCGCCGCGCCGGCTCCAGCCGAACACCGCGGCGGCTGGCGCGCCCCAGCGGCGGCTCGTGCCCTACTCGCTCTCGGAGGCGCTCGCGCAGCAGGTGCTCCACTCGGCGGGGGAGGGGCGGTACGCAAGCGAGGCGCTGCTCCACTTCGAGCTGCTGACGCCGCCCGCGCCCAGCCCACCGCCCGGCGAGGGCAGCCGCGCCAGGGCGGCCGTGTTGGTTCTCACCGGCGTGCGGCTGCTCGTGGTTGACACCGGGAGCTGGACCGCCACCCTCAACCTGCAGCTGCGCAAGGTTGCGGGCGCCGAGCCGGACGGCGACAGGCTGCTGCTCGTGCTCGTCAGCCGCCGCGGCGCGGGGGGCGCGCGAGGCGACCTCTCGCGCGAGGCGAGCGAGCTGAGCGACAAGGCCTCGTCCATCGTCTCCTCCGAGACAAGCGAGCGGCGCATGCTGCGCGGCGGCGGCGCACCTGTCGAGAAGCGCGTGCGAGTGGCGTGCTACTCGGAGCAGCTCGCCGCCGACCTCGCCTCGCGCATCACGACCGCATCCTTCTACGCGCGCACGCGCCGCACGGTGCTGCAGCAGTCGCGGGCCCTCACGCGCGGCGGCCTCGGCGAGTCGAGCTCTTCCGCTGCCACAGCGCTTGGCCGCGAGATGAGCGAGCTGAGCGCTTCGACCAGCCTCTGGGACGAGAGCGAGGACAGCCACGGGGGCGTGGCGCCGCGCTCCTTGACGCCCTCCTCCATCCTAGAGCAGGAGGAGGAGGGCAACCCGGCGGCAGCAAGGTAAGTGCGAGCTGCCGCCGCCTTCCTACAATCAGCTACTTGTACTTGTGTGCATGATGTGCATGACCAATCAAAGCCACCAACGTCCTCTCGAGAGATTCGATTACCCCCGCCCCTGACTCTTGTGTCGTTCCTTTACGTGTGTGCTGTACTCGTACACGGGGCGGGGTGGTCTCTCTCACCAGCTGATGTCAGCTGTGTTGTTCGCTTTTACGACCTCTAAACACGAGAGAGGCGCCGCGAAACCCGCAGCCGCACCAATAGAGAACGCAAGAGAGACCGAGACACTGATGCACATCACATTAAGAAGCTCTCCCTGGGACGCGAGACATGGGTGCCCTCCGCCTCCCCGCTCTCCGAACCCTCGCCGCCACCCCCGCCGTGGGGCCTGGGTGCGCGGCCTCGGCGACCGGTGGGCACGGCCCTGCGCGTGTGTTGCGCGAGCTCTGCTCTAGTGCTCTAGGGAGGTCTCCCTCGCACACACGCGGAGGGGGCAGTCCGCGCTGCTACGCAGGCCCTACTCTGCGATCTCGTCCTCCTCGCCCTTCTCCGGGTCGGGCGCCATCTGCTTCCACCCGCTGCTCTCGCCGTCGTTCTCCTTCTCGTACAGGTATATTGTCCCGAGAATGAGGAACTTGAGGATGAGCACGACCATGAAGAGGCCGTGCGTGAATGCCTGCCCCGGCGTGTAGACCTGCCAGTCTTGCGGCATGAAGTTGAGCGTGATGAGGTCGAAGAGGATGGAGGCGGTCGTGAGCACCACGTACATCACCATGAAGTTCTTGACCTTGGCGTCCACGTAGTACGCGCAGATCACGACCAGCAGCATCTCCCACTGCCGCGCGGAGGGGGGGGAGCAGCCGGGCGGTGAGTGCAAGCCCCCAAGAGCACCGACGACCTCGCGTCTCGGACGGTGGCGGGGCGGGCGGCGGGCGGCGGGCGGGAAGCGGGTGGGCGGCGGCGGCGGCGGCGGCGGCGGCGGCGGCGGCGGCGGCGGCGGCGGCGGCGGCGGCGGCGCGCCCACCTTGACCTCGTCGACAAACATGGCGAGGTAGCAAGCGAGCTGCAGCATGAGCTCGATGTAGAGCGCCTGGAGCGCGATGGGGCGGGCTCGGGCGTTGGGTAGGGGTAGGCGCCGCAGGGGTCTGCGGCGAGGGGGTGGGAGGCGCGCCTTCTTTGCGGAGAGGCAGGGCGTCTCTGAGAACTCCATCCACGCCTGCGCAGGGGAGGGACGTCAGCCGAGGCGGCAGGCGGGGCGGCGGGTGGGGCGGCAGGCGGGGCGGCGGAGGGGTGCGGTGGGGTGCGGCGGGCTCGCCTCGATGAAGCCGTCTGGTCGCCAGAGGTCGAAGAGAGTGACGATGAGGAGGGCGCCAAAGACAGTGACGAGGAGGAAGGAGAGGCGGACGACGCCGAAGGAGGCCTGGGCCGGGAGGGCGGCCAGTCAGTGGTTCGGGGACCCAGTGTGAAGTGCAGTGCTCCGTGGTGAGGGGTGGTCTCGCCTCGAGCGTGAGCAGTCCGACGCCGAGTGTGTCTGGGACCGTCGCCGCGTACGCGACCATCGAGACAAAGAGGAAGCCCCAAAAGGCGATCCAGCAGCCGGCGATGATGTACTTTTGCGCCGTCATCGAGATGCCCTGCGACTCGGCCTTGGAGAGGACGAGCCCCACCTTGCGTTCATGATTCTCATCATCATCGTTATGATGCCCACCATCACTACTCTTCTGGAGAGGACGAGCCCGCCTTGCCGATCTCCTTTGCCGCAAAGATGAAGGTGAGGATGAAGGTGCCGAGCCCCGGGATCAGGCCCACAGTCAGGAGCGTGTTCGCAAGCCCGCCCGCGTCCTCGAGGTCGCACCACGCCTGGTCCGGCGTCGACTTCTCCGGCTTGTCGTACGGCGTGGTCGGGCCGGCGCACAGCGTGGACAGCGCGCAGGTCTTACCATTGCCGAACAAGCCGCTGCCGCAGCCGTCAAAGTACTTCTTCAAGACGTCCGAGTCAGCGCCGTCCTTGCCCAGCTCGGCCGTGGTCGTTGAGACGTAGGCCTCGTACACCTGCCGCGCAGAGATCAGGCGGCCGCGCAGCGGTCGGGCGCGAGGCTGTGCACGTCGAGCAGAGGCTGTAATATATATATATATATCACGTCGAGCAGAGGCTGTGCACGTCGGGCGTTTGCGCTGCGGGCGCACCTCCCCATTGATCCACATCATGCCCCTGACCCACCCCGTATTGTAGTGAGAAAAGATGAGCAGCAGTCCGATGACGAGCGAGGCGAGCGACACCACCGCCGGTATGCGGTGCAGCTTGGACAGGTCCTCCTGCGAGATGTCGGCCTTGTCCAGAATGTCCTTTGAAAAGGCAGCGCCGCGCGCAGCAATAGCCTGGTATCGCGCCTTGGCTGCAGAGCCACACGCAGGGCCCGCCGGGTCAGAAGGTCGGGACGGAGGGAGGGAGGGGAGGGAGGAAAAGGAGGGGGGCGAGGGAGGCAGGGCGGAGGGACAGGAGGAACGGAGAAAGCGCATTTAGGAGGGAGGGTGAGGAGGGAAGGACGGGGTGGAGAGATTGGGGGGAGGGAGGGGAGGTACGAGGGAGGAGAAGGAGGGGCGGAGGGAGAGCATGGAGGGAGGGAGCGAGGGAGATGGAAACGGAGGAGAGGAGGAGCGTGCAGCGTGTGTGCCCTCAGGCGTGGTGCGTGCGTGTGCCAGCTGTGGGTTTGACGCACCCTCGTTGACGACAAGGTAACCACCGCTTTCGTCCTTGGCCAGCACCTTGCCCGCCAGCTCCTTTGCCTTCTGTGCGCCTGCCGCCGCGTACTCTTTGCCAATCGCCGCATACTCGGCTGCGGAGCGGGCGGGAATCAGGGCTTAGGCGCGCGCTGCAGGTCCCGGCCCGCGCGCGATGCAGGGGTCGACCGCTCACCGGCCTTTTCCTTGGCCAGGTCAACCTTCTCCTTCATCGGCGAAGGCGGACCGTCCGGGGACGACATGCTTGGAAGGACAGCGGGTAGTGTCGCGATACCCCGACGCCAAAAATCCGCCAAACTCCGGCGGCTTTTTTCTTTTTTTGTCATGAACGATCTAATACTTGTCTACGTGATTGCTCTCCTAAGTTGCAGCTGCAAAGGCGCCGACCCCTTCCTCTGACCGCGCAGGCACCGGCTTGGCGCCAGACAGACCTCTGCCGCTTTCTCGGCGTCACGCGCAGCAAACAAAACAAATTTGGTATTGCTAAAATCCTAAAAATCTCCTCTCGCGCAGCTCTGCAGCGAGATTCTTGCGAGTCTCGACGGACGGGAACTTGTCGTCTCGACCGCCGTGTCGAAGGAGCCGATGTAGACCTCCCTTTCGCCCGCCCTGTACTCCGCCTTGAAGCGCGCGTGCAAGCCCCGCAGAGGTGCGGGCGAGAGGGCGGCCCGAGCCCGAAAGGGCCCGCCCTCGACCTTGCTCTACATGGTAACGGATAAGAAGAGAAACACACCCGGACCGGGACGCCGGCGGTCGAGTCGGGACACGCTGTGGTTCAGACGTCCCCCCCCTCGACGCAGTCGAGTGACTGACATGAATAGGGAGGAGAAAGTGTCCCCCACATATCACCACAGACGCAGCACAGGGGCTCCAATCCTGTCCGCCGGGGCCTCGGCTAGATCTCCAGTGGGGAGTGCGAGGGCTGGATCGACTGCAGCGAGAGTGTGGGTTGTGGACGCACCGTCGGGATAGCGTGTGGCGTAGATGTTCTCCTGGAAGTAGAGAGGCTGATGTCTCTCGCCCTGCAGGAAGGAGAAACTCGGACGGCAGAGTGAAAACTCCTCCCTGCGGCATGTGCGCAGAACGGGTTGCGCAATGTGCGGCATCGTGTTGAGGGCTCGGGAGGGCAACGACGGCAGTGTTGCCGAGCTTGTACAGGGGCCTCAATCCTGTCCCCGATGGGGTGCGCCTCTCGCCGCGCGCGTAGCAGTCGGCGCGCGGGTAGCCTCAGAGATGCGCAGAGCGAGATGCGGTTATCAGCAAACCAAGCCCTGGGCTTGGATGGGCGCGGCGAAGCCGCGGCGCACAGTGGATTAGCGTGAAGAACTCGAGATCGCTGGGATCTTGAGCCGCCGCTACCACGTGCAAGCCCCGCTTGCTCTACATGGTAACGGATAAGAAGAGAAACACCCCCGGACCGGGACGCCGGCGGTCGAGTCGGGACACGCTGTGGTTCAGACGGCGCGAGCCATCCTTGACCACGTTCTTGTAGCCAGTGCTGCCGTTGCTGGAGAGGTGCAAGCGCAAGCCCTCCGCCTCTGTCACCACCGCCACCGCCGGCGCCTCCACCTCCAGCTCCTCCTCCACCTCGCCGACCGACCGTGCCTCGCCGCTCCCGGCCTCGCTCTCCGCCCTCGCCGCCACATCGTCCTCGTCGTCCGCCTCCTCCTCGAGGACCTGCCCGTTCCGCGGTGTCGCAGGAGCGGCCTCCGACTCGGCGCAGCCGACGGGCAGCACGACGAGGCCCAAAGCGTCGACAAAGGCGGCGGCGGTGGCGGCGGCGGGCGTGGCGTGCGTGGCGTGCGTGGCGTGCGCCACCCCCACCTTTCTCTTCGGGGGTGGCTGCATCAACTCGTCGGCGGTGGCGCGGTCGTGCGCCGCCGGCGCCACCGGCTCCATCGACCGATCGAAGACGCCCGGCAACATCCGTTGCAGCGCCGCCCATAGACTCTCCCTCGCCGCCGCCGGGCTTTCGCCGTCCTCTGCAGACGCCGTCGGCGCCGCCACCGTCGTGGGGACGGTCGCACGCCGCGCCCGCAGCGCTGGACTGACGGATTCCTGCGCGTGGGGGGGCGCAGCCGTACACGCCCACAACATCCATGCTTGCGCAATGGCTCTTTTCGCGCCAGCTTTCCGCCGCGCCCGCGCTTCCCGCCCGACGATTTCTTTTTTCCAAACTGTGCCGGTGTAGATTCTTTTTGCTTGGGCGGCACTCATCATGAATTCTGGAAAAACCCGGCCGGCCTCTCCCCTGCCCCTACCTACCTACCTACCTACCTACCCTACTTATGGGAAACTAAAAAAGAAATCACCGGATGGGTGAAGGTGGGGTACCATACCAACTAAAGTGATGGTTGGTGGTACTCTCCTGCAACCACAGTCCTTCCTGTGACATGGCAGGCCACTCTCAAGCCCTACAAGCACCAGATCATCCATTTGGGGAGGTGGCGAGCAGGCGAGCGGCCCGCGCGCGGCGAGGCGGACAGGTGATCGGCAGGCGGGTGATGGCCGGAGTGCGGAGAGTGACCGCGCCCAGCGATCGGAGAAGACGAGCCGATCGTCGCTCGGCCGCAGCTGACCTCGAAGGCGTGCGAAGCGCGACGATCGGTCGGTGTCGGAGGGCGGCCGCCACGTGGCCATACCAAGATGGCGCCGGGGGGGGCCAGTTGGACGCGCCGAAAGAAAAATCTCTTCCAATCTCTTGCGCGCCCTAAATTCTTCCAACGAGAGAGCGAAAATTTGTTTAAATTCTTCCAACCAATACTCGTGCGTCCCGCCGTTCCGAAGCGTGGGTCCCGCACCGGGCCAGAAGAGGACATATCCACACACATATATGGGGCTGCCCCGCGCAGCACGCGCGCACGCGCTGCCGCCGCTCGCTCACACGCCGCCCAACGCCAGTGCGCTAGTTCGCAGTGCGGCCGCACACGCTATGGACAGGCACGGCTTGTTGGGCTGCAGTCTCCAGCACGGTGTGGAAGCTCCAGAAGCCCTGCCGCCGCGCACGCTCTTCTGGCACGTGAGCAACGCCGACGAGGTCGTGATGCGCCAGGCTGATCAGATCGAGCGCTCCGACGCCTTCCGCGCGGGGATGAGGGTCAAGTTTGTCGCATCAGATGGCTGCGTCCGGCCGCAGGGCGAGAGCGTCAGCGAGGGCGCGCTGGCGATGCTGGAGCGGCGAGGCGGCTTCGAGCGGGCGCGCCGACCCCGGGGGTTGCAGTGCCGCCAGGGCTACCGCGAGTACTTTGAGCTGCCCACCCTCCTGCTGCTGCACGAGCACTGCAGCCTCAAGCCGGGACGTGAGCTGGTCGCTTATGCGCACACAAAGACCAACGTGCTGCACAACAGCAAGTTGACCGGCGCCCTCCTCTCGGGTCGCAGCCACCTCGACTGTGTCCGGGCGCTCGCCGCCGGCCCGGACCGGGCCGCCTGCGGCCCGCAGCCAAAGCCGTCCTCCCCCGGCCCGTGGGCGGGCAACGTGCTCGAGGGCGACACGTGGTGCCACTTCTCGGGCAACTTTTGGTGGGCGCGGTGCGACCACGTGCGCACGCTCAACCCGCCATTCTCGGAGGAGCTGCTCTCGGAGGGCGAGGCGGCCGATCGCACCGCCCTTCCCGCTGGAAACGGCCGGAGGTGGCACGGCTCGTGGCGCGACATCCGCCCGTACGGCCGCTACTTCGCCGAGTGGTGGCTGCTCAACGACAAGACGCGGCCGCGCGACAGCTTCTACGGCGGCGCCGTCGAAGAGCGCATGGGCAATGCGACGCGCTCGCTCGCCACGTGGCGCGCCCACATTTGGAGGCAGGCGCACCTGCTGCAGAATGACGCGCGGCGCACTCCTGCGTTTGCGGCCGAGGTGGCGGCGCGTCGTGACATCGCACTGACGCCGCTCGCCCGCCGACTGGTCCGGGAGGACCCCGGGCTTCTCCGGTGGCCGCGCCAGTGCGGGGTGCACCTGCCCCCCGACTGCCCCCTCGCGCTAGTCGCACGGTGACTCGCGCGCAAGATGGCTCTCCTAGCCTACCCGTACCCGTGCGCTCTGCCACTACTGTCAGTGGCACCGCACTCTCTATGGCGTGGCATACAATCATGTATATTCGTGCATAGCTGCAACGATGATGTCCCCGGCGCCCTGCAGCAGCACGATCTTGGTGTGAGGGATCTTCAGTCCTTCCCAAACAGAACCTACCGTCACATGCCCGTGGGACACAGTGTTTCTGTTTGGCGGGAGTACTCAGACACGGGCCACTGAGTCTCTCAGTGGCCTAGAGCTCCCAGGAACAACTTCAGGTGAACCAGGATTGTTATCGTGTGCACCGCGTCACAACGACCCAGTCGACACACGCACACGTGCACTCACAAGGGCGATCGGTCAGAGAGGTGGACAAAAGAGACACTAATGGCACGTTCCCGGGCATTTGATGGGTGCCTAGCTGGAGCGGGAGGAGTGCGACTCTAGCGGCTGCGGCGATCTCGGGAGCACGTCTCTCAGTCGTCGTGCGGCTTCTTCTCAGCCTCCGCCTTTGGCGGCTGCTCGAGAAGCCGCTTCGAGTAGAGCGCGTTCGCGCGCGGTGAGCGAAGCGGCGAGTGCACTTGCCGCCCGCCGCTGCCCGCCGCGACGGGCGAGGCCGCGTCGGCGCCGGCCGCGAGGAGCGGCGCGCCCGAGCCGTCGCCGATGTAGCGCAGCAGGACGCGGCCGACCGGGGTGAGGCGGATGGCGATGAGGGTCGCAGCGCGGAAGTAGGGCAGCTGCAGCCAGACGGCGAGCACGAGCTGGCCGTGCGTGGAGAAGGGGAGCCAGAGCAGCCACGGCAGCTGCTGCAGCACGGCGGAGACGGCGCAGTGGAGCAGCCAGTACCGCAGCTGCACCTGCGTCGCGAACGCGGCATCGGCCGCCGCCTCGGCTCCGTGCCGCTGCGCCTCGAGCGCCTCGACGGAGCGCAGCGCCGGGTGGCAGACCGACCAGTACAGGAGCGTGTACGCCGTGAGCGGATACGGCGTGCAGAGGCAGAGCGCCGCGGCGAGCAGCAGCCACCCCTCCTGCGAGTCAGTCCATCAGCGGTGAGCAGCTGACGTAACTCGTTGGGGCGGCGAGCTGGAGCAAAGCCCTCCTGCGCAGTCTGCGCCAGCGCGGCGTACAGCCCGGCCGGCAGGAGCAGCCTCAGCACCAGCCCGATCTGCGCAGACACGCCGGCTGGAAGGGCGGGCAGCGCGTCCGAGAGCCTCTGTGCGCGCGCGGCCAGCACCGGCCCGACGAGCGAGTAGAGCAGCGGCAGGCCGCTGTGCGGGAGGTGGAGCCACGCGGCGGCGCAAAAGAGGACGGGGGCGGCCGAGGGCGAGTCGAGCGAGAGGGCCTGCGCGGGGAGCAGCCGCGCGGCAAACGGGAGCAGCGCGAGCGCCTCGGAGAGGAGCTGTGCGCTCGCCCACAGAACCCAAAACATCAGCCAGCTGCGCTGCAGCGCTCGGTCCTCCTGCCCGTCCGACCGGAGGGTGAGGAGGGTGCGCACCCAGGGCACTGGCGTGAGCAGCAGCGTCGCGGCGTGCGGCCAGACGGGGCGAAGCATCGGCGCGAGCCGCACCGCCTCCAGCAGCCGCGCCGCCGCCAGGCAGCCGACCGCATACAGGCCGTGCGGCAGCAGGCGGGCGACGAGGCGTGAGCGCTGACGCACGGCGCCGGCGAGGCGCGCGTAGCGCTCGGCCACGGGCCGGTAGAAGCGCGCCGCCCCCCATTCGCGCAACCGCGCGCAGTAACGCTTGCGCCGAAGCAAGCGGCGCAGCCAAATCGCACAGGCGACTGCGAGCACCAAGGCCGCCTCGAGAAGCAGGACATCCCGCGGCTGCTGAGCAAAGGCGGTTGCGGCCCGCTTCGCGTACGGGGCGATCGCATGGGCCGTGTGCTGCACACCACACGACAGCGGAAAGAATGCGAGACGCAAGAGGCGGAGCCAGGCAAGCCCAGACTCGTGCGCCTTGACGAGAGCAACGCTGAGTGCGCCCCGCAACTCTGTCGCGCTCACTGCCTCGCAGTGAGACAACGTAATGCTGCTCGGCGTCGCCGCGATCTGCTCCATGCAGGATCGATGATCCAGCCGGCGTGCCGCGCACTCGCCAGGCCCGCACCTTGCCCGCGCCCCGCCCCTGACGGCCTGCCCGTCAGCGCAGGTGAACCCCAAGACTCGCCGAGCGAGGGGCCGCGCGGAGCGTTTTTTTTCATTCAATAAATGAGCACTTGAGCACTGGAAAGGGTCGGTTCCGCATGGTACGGGACCCCTCGATCGTCTCGCCCTCCCTCACTGGTGTGTTCATTGGGGGGGGTCATAACAAACACGGTACAGGATCGAGGTGCACGCTGCCGAAGCAGTGTCGTCCCCCCTCTCTCTCTCTCCCCGACGGCGATGGCGGTGTGACCGATCGAGCTACAAGAGGAGCTTGTTCAGCAGGATCCGGGAATTAAATAAATTAGAGTTTGCCTCCCTTTTTAGTGTACGTACTTTTTGCTTACTGCTACTGGGGAAAAAAGGGAGAGGGAGGTGCGATTTCTAGGCCCTTGGGGGCCCTACGAACGAATCTTCGGGGATGGGGCTCACTGCCGCGCTCACTGGGTTCGAGAGAGAGAGATTGTGTATGTATGTGGCTCTTACGTACGTTCCCGGAGGAGGACTGCTGACAGGGTTTGCGATGGGGAGCGAGCCGAAGGGGTTCTCGGAACGACAACATCCCGGACGGCGTAGAAGGCACGACCGACACGGACGGCGACGGCATCCCCAACTACCTCGACCCCGACTCGGACGGCGATGGCTGCCCCGACGCCGACGCGACCTTTGCCACCGCAGCGTCAAAGGTGATCGGTGCTGGCTGTGATTCCTTGCTCTCACGCTGCTGACGGCGGCGTCGCTGCTGGTCGGCCACTCGTTTTGTCGCCCGCTCCCCTTGCGACATGGCGGCGGCCCTTCGCTTTGCGCTGCTTGCGAGCCCAGCGGTGATCTGGTGATGCTGTGCTGTCGGCTGCGCTTGCCGGATGACTCCCCCACGACGCCTTCCTGCGTGGTCGCCTTCCTGCGTGGTCGCCTGCGTCGCATCCTCGTCGTCGGTGGCCGGTGGCGGTTCGCGCTCTCGCTCCTTGCCCCCCATGCGCGCCGTGGCTCCCGAGCTGAGGCCGACGATTTGCGGCGGGACGGCCGAGTTTGAATGAGCTGGTTCGCGGCTTCAAGAGCGGTCGGCGCTCCGGCACAAGAGACTTATAAGGGTAGACATCTCTCTCTTGATGTACGTCTCTCTCTCTCTCTCTCTCTTGATGTAGAGTTTGTTGTAGAGATTTCACGTTGTAGAGCGCCTCTACATTGCTCTACATCTGCATCGCTCTGTCCCGCGCCGGATGTAGAGCTCTACAGCTCTACATTGCTCTACAGCGCTCCAGAGCGCTCTACATCGCTACAGCTCTACAGCGCTCTACACTCTACATCCTCTACACCCTCCCTCAGCTCAGTTGCTGGCGGCCGCAGTCTTTCTGTGACCCACCCACCTCTCCCTTGTGTTTTGTCTGGGGAGGGGTTTCTCCTGCGGAGTCGTGCGTGCACGGGGCTCCTCTTTGCGAATACTCCCTAATTACATCTCGTACCCGTTCTACCACAGAGAACTTTAGGTGGTTTTTTGCGGCGCATCCCCCCCGCGAGAACTTGTGCGACCGCCTTCCGGGCGTCCCGCCGATGCGTCTGTGTGTTCTCGCAGCAATCGCAGTGGTGGCAACAGTCGATGCTACCACTACACGGGTCAACAAACCCCGGCTAAAGCAGGTGTACGCTTTCACCTTGGGCAACACGATCAATGGCGGCTTGGTTGGAGCGCTTGGTCCATCAGTCGCTTTCTTCCAGTCGTCTACTGGCCTCAGCCAGGCGGGGCTGGCCCGAAGCTTTATGATCAATCGACTTGCAAAGCTGGTTGGAACCGCGATCTGGGCTGAGTATGCGAGCCGTCTCGAGCGCGGCTACTCCTGCCCCTTCTCTCCTAGGACTGTGCTCGTGTCTGTGATGCTTTTGGAGACGGTGTGCTCGTTGCTCATCGTTAGCCTACGCAGCAGCGCGAGATCGCTGCAGGTTGCACTCGCAGCCTTTGGGCTGTGCTATGGCCTGGCGGACTCTGGCTTCGACCTTCTTACCGTGTGGTCCGAAACCGCTGACACGAAAGCAACGAGGACGCACGTTGCCTTGCTTAACGCCGGCTTTACGGCGGGCGCAATTCTCACTCCGGCAGTTGTCGGTGCAGCGATCAAGCTTGGTGGCTCGAGCTATACTTGCTTCCTCGTGCTCGCCGCCTTGTCTGCATTGACCGGTGTCGCCATCTCGGCGTGCGACATGCTTGCCGACGGGGTACCTGTACCTGTCAGGGAGGAGGGAGGCGGCGATGACGGCGACATGGTTGCAGAACGAACTCAACCACGCCCGGACACGAGCCCGAAGTCCCAGAGCTCGTTGTTTTTCGTGGCGTGTATGTTTGCCGTGCTATTTTGCGCCACAGGAAGCGAGCACGTCGTTGGGACTTGGCTCCCGTGCCTCGGCGCGGACAAGGGAGGGCTCAGCATGGCCGCGATGGCCGGGATGTCGTCTTTCTTTTGGGCGACCATTTGCGCTGGCCGTATCGGTTGGGTCTTTCTCTCGACTCAGATTCAGTCCGGCTGGCCAGTGCTTGCAGCAAGCGGCGGGACAATGATGCTCGCTGGAGCCCTATATGTCGATTATGTTGCTCGCCACGGCACATGGCAGCTTTGGCTAGCCACTTTCCTTCTTGGCCTCGGATGCTCCAGCTCCCTGCCCTGTGCTCTCACCATGCCAATGGAGGCGCAAATTCCTCTCACGCCGAGCGTGCTTATGTGCCTGAATCTCGCCGGAACGGTTGGCGAGATGGTCGCGCCTTTTTTGGTCGGTCTGGCGCTGCAACAGGGCGTATACCGATCATTGGGCTTGGGCGTCGTGGGGATGATGGTGGTGATGGGAGGGGCGTCATCACTCGCCTGGTCCACCTCTCGGCGTGTGGCACCAGCAACACCTAGGACGAGTGTGGTCTGTCCCATATCCCCCACAACTCTCTAGGTCACCCCTTTTTTCTCTAGGTTGCAGGTCCTCAGGTGGGATCTGGGAACCGGAACCGGAAAGGTGCATGGGATGGTCTGGGAGGAATCTCGACTGGGAGATTTCTCACCTGATACTGGGCTGGGACGGGACACTCAGTTCGGAGGAGCACAGCGTCAAGGTGTCATCCCGTGTGTATATACACATCGCGACGAATGCTCGTCGTGTTGACTATATTCTCTGCCGATACACTCACGGACACGGTACGGCTCTACCGCAATCCTCTTTCTCTCGTCCGTGGGGCATCCCCGCCCTCTACAGTATTATGCAGTGTATTGCACCAGGGTGGACACGGAGAGCGCAGACAAGTCCCGCACCCGCCCCTCTCTCGTGTATCTGCTATCTCACAGCATGCCCTGCAACCCAGTGTCTTTTCGCCTCTTCGTGGTCTCGTCTCCGTCCTCCCAGTCTCGCTTCCGGCCGTAGAGATTCAGCCAGCCCTGGTCGGGGCCGCTCATGCAGACCAGCTGCCGCAGCCGGCGCGGGAGCGTCTCCCTCGAGATTGCGCCGTCGCCATCGGCGACCCCACCGAAGGGTCCAAACCACCACGTCCACGCGTAGCCCTGGAACCGCAGCGGGTCGCAGACTTCGCCCATACCCAAGACGAAGCGCTGCACGTCGCCGCGGATGTCGCTGCCCGCCTTCCACATCCAGCCGCACGCCTGCGCGAGACGGATCCAGAATGGGGGGCCGTATCGAATTATCCGGCGCTCAGACCGAACAGCCGGCACGTCGAGCACAAAACAGAGTGCGGCCATCACCAGCCCGAGCGCGAAGCCGAGGAAGATGAGCGGCGCGCCGCGCCGGAAGAGCTTGAGCGCGCGGTGCATCGCACTCCCACGGCGGTCGATTTGCGCCGGCCCATTCTCGCCGAGGTGCGTCGCCAGAGCGATGAGGATCGGCCCTCGCACGAGCACGTAGAAGAAGCAGAAGGAGCTGAGGCTGCCACACGCGTCGAAGAGGAACGAATGTATGCTCGGCCCGTGCTCGACCGCCGTGAGCACGGCGAAGTTGTTAGCAATCATGATGCCCGACACAGTCATGATGATGTTGAAGTCGTTGTACGAGTTGCGGGCGTCGTTCTCCGTCCGCTTCATCTCCATGTTGCGGCGGTCGACCTCCATGTGGTCAAGCTGGTACTGCAGCATGGCGCTCAGTTCAGCGTGGGAGCGGACGCCCGGCCGAGGGTGAAACGAGGCGCCCCGGGGAGGGGCTGTGGCCGGGGCGCTGCCAAGCGCGCGTTCTTTCTTTTTCGGCGGTTGTTTTCTTTTTTAGCGGAAAGTTGTTTGAATGCCAATGGTACCAGGTTGCAGTCGTTCACACACACACGCCGCACCGCACCGCCTGCCCTTTTTTCTTTTCCCCATACCATCCTTGCGTGGACCACCAGAGCCTGTGTGTAGAGCGCCATGCCGTCCGCCTAGTGGTCCGCCCGCCTCCGGTCTTATGTCTAATGTCTTTGTTCTTCTTCTCAGTTCTTCTTCTTAAGAAGTGGGGGTAACCCGGGGGGCGGGGGGGGACGACGATCGACGACGACCTTTAACAGATACGAGATCTAGGTGATAGCAGAGGGGGAAAAAACTGTTCAGTTTTCAAAGGCAAAAACGCCGGCGTACGCCCTCCCCTCACACTGACACTTCTCCCCTATTCCCAACTTTAGGTTGCGCACGTCTCCCAGCGAGCTAGGATCTCCGCTTTTTCTCCCCTAGTCATCCGCCCGCGCCGCGCGCCTCTATGGGCGTCTAGTGCAGCCACTGAAAGAACTATGGTCGACGTCTCGCCTGAAGTCGGGTGGGCTCGCGCACTGCTTAGCCCTAGGGAAGGGGTGTGTGTGAGGTGGTGGAATGGTAAGGTTTCAGGCCAGAGGGGTGGGGGATTTGGGGGATGAGTCAGGAGCCAGCAGCCTTCCTACTGGACCTGAGTTCTCAGCTCTTCCGCCCGACGGGGTGGTCCCTTGGATTCGGGCCCCGCTCCCTTTTCCTGCGCCTGGTCTGTCCCTGTCATGAGTGTGTTGCGAGATGCAGAGCTGGTTAGCTGGGGCACAGATCTGGTTACTGGAGCACTGGTTAGGCTGGAGAGCTTGTTAGGCTGGGGCACAGGGCTGGTTGGGCTGGAGCAGTGGAGCACAGAGCTGGTTAGGCTGGAGCAGAAAGCTGGTTAGGCTGGAGCGCGGGCGGTGCGGCGGCCGGCGAGGGCAGCGCGGTAGGCGAGAGGCGGCCGCGGGGCGTCGAGTGGCGCGATAGGAGGGTAGGCTGGCTGTGGGGGGGCGCCGCGTGGCCAAATGAGTAGTGGTTTATGAGCGGCCAGTTTCATGCGCATTGCAAATCGAGCCTGGGGCGTGGCCTAGTTGGCGCAGCGTTCGGGTCGGGGACGTTTTGGTCGTTGGTTCGAGCCCAGCTGGTGCAGTTCGTAGATCGTAGTCGCGCAGCGACGCGGGCGCGCGGGTGCGCGGCAGCCTCGGCAACCGAGGCGACAGTGGCGAGCAGGGGCGAGCAGGGGCGAGCAGGGGTCAGAGCAGTGCGGCGCGCCGGATTTTTTCGATGGGCTCGGTCAGTGGGCGTGTCAGGAGGCGGCCGGCCGGGAGAAACTGGTTAAAACTCCCGCACCGGCCCAGGAGCCAGGAGGTGGGAGTGTCACGGAGGCGGCCAATTGGCGCGCGCTCCTTGTCTACGTGGGTCCGAGTTTTTTTCGGTGATAGCAGAGGATGACCCATAAAAGAATCGAATCAGCTCACGCTCCTCCTCGGCGGGATGTCCGTCCACGTGACAGGGCGGTCGGCGTGCCCAGGCGACGTCCGATCCAGGTTTAGCGAGTCTCTCGGAATGCCGGTAACAACGCCGCCCGCGCGCTCGCTCCCGCCGCCGCCGCGCTGGCTGGCGCTCCGGCCAGCCGTCGGCCGCACGCCGCGTGCGAGACCGCGCCGCAGCGCGCGCGGCGCCGGCAGGCCCAGCCCGAGCATCCCAGCGCCGCGCGCACTTGGCGCGCGGGTGCGGATCGTGCCGCGCAGCCGAGTCTTCCACACGGAGCGCGCGGCGGCGACGACGACGACTACGATGACACCAGAGTAGAAGGGCGGCTCGCCCGCCGACGATACCGTGCCGAGGTAGCAGAAGAAGGAGGCCGCCGCCAGCAGCAGTCCCCAGCTAAAGACGATCCGCAGGTCTCGCAGGCAGTGCTCGAGGTAGGCGACGGCAGTGATCATAGTCTCGAGCGGGGGGTATTCTTCGGCCGCGGCAAGCATCGGGCGCGAGCGCTGCCTCTCGAGATGCAGCCACGCGCGGAGCGATTCCACCGCGTCTTTCGTCGTGCCGTGGTCGTGCGCCATCGCCTGCGCCTCCTCGGCAGCGAGTAGGACATCGTACGCGACCCAGCCCATGCACATCATCGATGCGGTTGAGAAGATGGCGAAGAGCGTCCGGAAGGCCTGGTGCCACCGGTCGAAGCCCTCGTCGCTGCTCACGCCGACCAGCAGCTCCACGTGCACCGCGAGCACCAGCGCCGAGACGGTCGCCCAGACATCGCAGCGGCGGACAGCCTCGACGAGGCGGCGCTCCTCGTTCGCGATCAGCGCGCCCATGGCGTGGCTCCGTTCGAGATGTTTCCCAGCCTCCTGCATGCTGCCCGAGACGGCGGCGAAGGGCACCCGCCCCAACACGAGGAAGGAGGGAAGAGCAGCAGCTGGGCCTTTTTTCAGTTTTCTGGCCCTTTTTACCTACCTACTAGAGTACTACTTGGTTTGCGATGAGAAGCGATCCGAATGTGGCATTCGGGTGATTAGATCACTACCGCCGAAACGCAAGAGCACTGCGACGGATCGCCTAATCCACCTCTTTTCATTGTAAGAGAGATTTTTACCAAATATGTCGGAGGGCTACCGTCGGGTACTTATTTTAAGAGCAGGTAAACAGCAATAGATCCGGCCCTCAAGCGGCCTAATCGATACCCAGCCCTCACGGAATCGGTCCCTCGTTGTACAGCAATCGATCCTTCACACTGCCCGCGCTGCCAAACTTGCTGAGAATCGGTCCCCCCACCTGTGGCGCGAAGCTGATATGTCTCCCGCGCTCGGCGCGCCGACCGCGCAGCGGCGGCAGACCACCCTCCGGTTCGAGGGGCGCCTGGGGGTGAGCGGGCTGCCTCCGCCAGAGTTTGGCTCGCCCACCTGTGCGGGCCCCCCTGTACCCCCTCCCCCCCCCGGGTGTCTAGCAATTGGTCCCTTGGCAAGCGCGAATCGGTCCCCCTGGCTCCAGGAACTGATCCGGCACTACACCCGGATCTATTGCTGTTTACCTGCTCTTAAAATAAGTACCCGACGGTAGCTGCGTCTTATTTGCTGCCTTTTATCCTTTTGGACGCCTTCGCAAACGGTTGTGCGGGCTGTCGATTAATAAGACGGCTGCTTCTTCTTAGTCGCGCGTCCCCAGCCTCCCCAGCTCCCCACACCTACCGACCGTCATATTTGAGAGAGAGAGATTTTTAGCAATACCAAACAACTCTAACACTCACACGTCATTTGGGGCCTGGAGCCCTTCACGCGCGCGCGAGACGTGCAGACAGGGTTGCCAGCCCTCTCTTCAAGCACAAGCTGGAATTTTCAAAAAAAGAAAATTTCCGCGGAAATCACGATGTCAACCCTCCCAAAATGGGTGATCTGATGCTTGTAGGGCTTGAGAGTGGCCTGCCATGTCACAAGAAGGACTGTGGTTGCAGGAGAGTACCAACCATCTCTCTCTCTCCAACCATCACTCTAGTTGGTATAGTACCCCACCTTCACCCATCGAGTGATTTCTTTTTTAGTTTCCCATAAGTAGGTAGATAGGTAGGTAGGTAGGGGCAGGGCAGGGGCCGGCCGGGTTTTTCCAGAATTTCAGCATGACCATGAGTGCCGCCCAAGCAAAAATAAACTACACCTGCTAACATCTGACTCTCAGATGATGACGACACGCACGAGCGACACACAGACACAAACAGGCTCACAAGACACACAGCCAGTTGGCTGCCACACCTGAGTTTCCCCTTCCTCAGGGCCACGTCCTCACTGTCGCCCCCCCCAGCATCAAGAGAGAGAGAGAGATTTTTAAAGACTCTCTCTCTTCTCAGCATCAATGCACGAATTAAAAAAATCCAAGAGAGGGGTTGGAGGGCGGGAGAATCCAAAAAAGCCGTCCAAAAAGCCACAAAAAGCCAGCGAGCCTCCCGTTACGCGATCGCCGCGAAGCGCAGCATGATGCGTGGCCAGCTTGGGAGGCTGCCGCCGCTGTCAGAGGTAGGGTGCCCACAGGACCCAAAAGAAAATAGCTTTGCGACTCAAAAAGGGACGCACGAGGCAAATCTGATGTTGGCCAGTTCCAATAGGAGCGAGGCCTCTTCCGTTGGGGGACCGAGTGACTAGGAAACGAGGGTTCCCCATTGTGAGCCGCTCCAGCGCGAGCGTGACACTGCACTTGGCGCCGAGCGCCCGCGGCTCAGACCTTGTGCAGGCCACCCCTCGGTGGGCACGCCGGTCCGGACCGATGGCGCTCGGTGTGGAGCAAGCAAGACCCCCCCCCCCCCCCCATCGGCGCGCGCTCGCCATTCCAACGGGCGCCAGGAGCACCAAGAGGACTCCTCATGGCTGTGCCCAAGTGGGCTTCGACCGGCCTCGGCTGGGGGGGCGGGTTGTCCCGGCTGCGGACGCGTTCTGCAGCCCGCTGGGCGCGACTCAGCACCCCAAAACTGCCCCTCGGCGGCATACAGCACTGCCAGCCAGCCTCTTCCTCCTCCTAAGGGCTGTACTATAGGCCATATTGCGCCGCCTCCTACTGGCAGCCGGGCGGGCGCGCGCCGCGCGCGCCTCGGTGCGCGCACGGCTCGCAAAGTTCGAACGAGTACTGCCGCCCGGCCGCCTCAAGGCTGCCGGGCGGCAGTACTCGCCTCGCAAGGCGCGCACCGGCTGATCTGGCTGCTGCGCCGGCGGCCGCTGCGCTGGCCGCTGCTGCGCCGGCTGGCGGGCGGTACGGCCGCCGGCGGCCGCTGCACCCGCGCCTTCCCTCGCGGGCGCCGTCGCGCCGCGCGCGCCCAACTCTGCTGGCACACGGCACGCGTCGTCACTCAGCCGCGGAGAATAGGCGGTGCAGCGCGCGAAGCGCGCGCGATCTCGTACTTTTAAGGCTGGATCCGGCCATTCCAAGGGTATACCTTTGAGAATCCCCAGCGTCCCACCCTCCTAGTCACACTCTCAATATCTCGACTAGCCAACACGAAGTGCTGCGATCGGGAGTGCCCATTTCTTTTTTCCTTTCTTTTTTTGGGTCCTGTGGGCACCCTATCAGAGGCGGCCGCCACTGTGAGGTCTCGAGGGCCGACCGGCCGGGCGAGCATCCGCGCTGCCGACGACGTGCTCGAGACTGGCCTTCAGAGCGACGAGATTCTCGCATGCTTTGAGGAGGCGCTCGGCGAACGGCAGCCAGAGATGGGAACGGATGCTGCAGCAGGGCGAGAGGCGAACGCCGAGAGTGCGGAGGCCGCACCGCGACTCGAGGCTGCAGCAGAGCAGCAGCGGGAACATTCCCTGCTTGCACCGACCGGGGGGCGCGGCGTTGAGCCGGTGCTGCCAGACCCGGTGCCTATGCTGCATACGAATTCCGGTGGAGGGCGCAGATCGTGCGAGCCAGATGCCGGCGCCCGTCAGCAGATCGGGTCGGCAGCTGCGAGCATTCTCGAGCGGCGCGGCGAGGCGGCGCGAAAATCCGCCGCGCCATGTTCGACGACGGCCCTCGCGGCCGGCGAGTCGCGCTCGGCGGCGCCTCCCGTGGCGCGAGCGGCCGCTCGAAGCAGGCACTCCTTGAGGAAAGCCGCCGCAAGCGGGGCGAACGCGAGCGCGCAGTCGCGCCCAGCCGCGCTGCGCTCGTGCTCGGCCGCCACGCCCGCGGATCCATCTGCCGTGCCGCGGTGGCCACGCGGCTGTGCGAGGCTCTGTCTCGTGACGTCGCCCAGCAATCGTCCACCGCCCTAGAGCCCGCGGCAGCGCTGTCACTCGTGCGCCGCCTAACCTGGTTGAACCGCATCCGACCCTCGCTGGCGGACGCCGCGCTCGTCGAGGCTGTGGCCCGCACCCTCCTGGAGGGGCAGCGATGCGGCGAGCCCTTCCTCGCCGCCCGGTGCGTGTGCGATGGCGGCGGCCGCTGGGAGCGCACCGCCCCGCCTCTGGTCCCGCCTCTGCTCCGGGCTGCGGCCAGCCAGCACGCCTCGGTCCAGCTCCTGCGGCTGCTGCTCGACCCTCCTGCCGCAGCCCTGCCGCCTTGCTGCGCGACCCGCGCGGCGTCGGAGGCGCGTAGATTACTGGACAGGTGCGCGCCCGACTGCATGTCTGGGTTCGGGAAAGCGCTCGCTGAGAGCAGCGGCCGCGGCGGCGGCGGCGGCGGCGGCGGCGGCGGCGGCGGCGGCGGCGGCGGCGGCGGCGGCAGCGCGGCCCCTCTGGTCGTGCTCGCCGGCCTCCTGCGCACGGCACTGCGCTGCGAGGGCCGCGGGGCAGCCGACCCCATCGCCCCGCCCTCGGCTTGGTCCGCCCTCGCCCGCGCGGTGTGGCCGCCAGCCCTGTGCGCGCAGCCGCCGCAGGCTGCGGGCCGCGCGGCGCTGCGTGCGCTCTTTGCCGGCTGGAGCGAGGCGGCGCTGCGTGCGCTCACGCTCGCCGTTGCGGACGCGTTGCGCGGCTGGCAGGCGAGCGGGCTGCTCGCTGGCTCGGACTCGCGCCACGACAGCGCAGCGGTCCTGGTCGAGGCGGTGCGGCTGTGCGCGGCGGGGCGTGGTTGCGACTGGCGGCCGGATGGCTGGTGCGAGGGCGGGCCGCGGCTCTTGCCACCCTCTGAGCTTCAGCTGCTGCCGCGTGCGATGGCCGCGCGCCTCGTGGCGACGCTAAGCGCGCAGGGCGTGCCGGCGAGCGAGACGAACGCGTCGCTCGCCCTCGCTCGCGCGCGGTGGCAGCCCGCCGCCGCCGCGAAGGCGCTCGCCGAGGAGGCGGCCGCGGCAGCAGAGGCGACGTCGGAGGGCGGCGGCGCCGCTGCGCCGGGCAGTGTGTGCGGCATTTGCTTCGAGCCGCCCGCGCCGCCGGCGGAATTGCTGTCGCTGCGGTGCGGCCACGAGTTTTGCTCCGACTGCTGGGGCGGGCTGATGACGACGGCGCTGCAGTCGGGCGCAGGATGCATCCACACTCGGTGCCCGCAGCCCGACTGCCCCGTCCTCCTCCCGGCGGAGCTGTGGCAGCGGTGTCTGCCCGCCGGCACCGCCGCCGGCGCGTGGAGCATGCTGCACCTCCGCTCCTTCGTCGACGCAAACGCGCTGCTCTGCTGGTGCCCCTCCGCTAGCTGCTCGACTAATTAACACTAATTAACACGAATTAACACTAATTAACACTGATTAACGCTAATTAATAGGTGCCCCTCCGCGAGCTGCTCGACTAATTAACACTAATTAACACTGATTAACACTAATTAATAGGTGCCCCTCCGCGAGCTGCTCGACTAATTGACACTAATTAACGCTAATTAACGCTAATTAATAGGTGCCCCTCCGCGAGCTGCTCGATGGCGGCTGCCCTCGTCACCGAGTCAGCCGCCGATGTCGCGTGCTCGTGCGGCACTCGCTTCTGCGGCCTGTGCGGAGCGGAGCCGCACTGGCCCGCCGCGTGCGCCGAGCGGAGAGAGTGGCAGCAGCTGCTGCACCAGTCGCCCGACGCGCAGTTCCTGCTGCTGCACACGCGGCCCTGCCCCTCGTGCGGTGCGCGCACGCAGCGCGACAAGGGGTGCATGCACATCACTTGCACCAATTGCTCGGCCGAGTGGTGCTGGGCCTGCGGTCAGACGGGCAAGCGCGGACAGGTGCACCACGTCCACGCCTGCACCCGTGCGCCCGACGCGTCCTGGGCCTTCCAAAAGGAGCAGGCGCGCGTGCTCGACGGATCCTTCGCCGCCGCCTTCGACGCCGCCGCCTACCGCGCCGAGCTGGCCGAGCTGCTCGCGCCCTCGGGAGACACGCCGCCGCCGCCGCTGGCGGCGGCGGCGGGGCGGGGGCTTCCGGACGGCCTCCGCCCGACGCTGCGTTGCGCGATGGAGCTGCTACAGTGGGCGCACGTCTTCACGTACTTCAACGTGCACCGCGGCGCTTCGGCCTCCGCCGTCCCCCCGCTGGTGCGCCTCGCGCTCGCGCAAGTCGAGAGGCACTCAGACGTCCTCCTCGCGCTCGCCGAGCCAGCCGTCGGCGGCGGCAGCGGCGAAGAGGCGAGTGAAGCAAGCCCGTCTAGCGGCGTGGCCGACGGCGTTGTCGACGACGTCCCCGACCGCCTGAGCTGGCTCGTCACGTGCATGCTTTACCTGCGCTCAAACCTAAAGCAGGCGCCGCCAGCGGCACCGGGAGGCCCGAGCTCCTCTCGGTGAACAATGACAAATATTGCGAACGCCGCGCCCACGCGCCACGGCCCAGGGCAGGGCGTTTTGAGCTTCCTTTGGGTTTGGCACCAGAGAACAGTTTGTACGACACAGGCTTGTGTTTCAGTCTGTGAACTGAACTAGTGTGATGTGGCTCAGAGCTTGCCCACTCTGGTCTCTGGCACTCACTCACTCTCACGTCTCAGATTTGACATCAAAATGAGAACATTGTGAACGAAAGGAGGGTGGCCCACGCTGCACACATAGAGGTGAGAGCATATTAATTATATTTATTATTAAAGGGTGTGGATGCTGGGTTGAACAAAATCGGGGGACGCGACCCAGTCCCACTTCGCCACAGACGGTCCCGCGCCTCGCCGCTATGACGGGGACACACCCCGCACCGTCCGCTGTGCCGCGTTTTTTGTCCGGAGTGAAAAGTCCAACGCGCTCGTCGGTGGCGGCTTCCCCCAACCTGCGCCGCGCTCGGCGAACCTCGACAGCGCTTTCGGTGGCATGCAGCTCTTTGCGACAGAAGCCTGGAGAGCAGCTCCTCTGCTGCTCACACACTCTGCACAGCTGACACAGCCTACTGTGCGGCTGCCACAGCTGTGACAGCGATGGGCTCGCCCTCACTGGCCCTCAGTCACTTGTGCTGCGGCTTGTGTGAGCGACACTGCTCGGCGACTGCCGGCACACTGTGAGACCATGGGTGTGAGGTAAAAGCACGCTACCAGCGCTTGGTCACATCGGCCCTGAGGTCATATCCTTCTCCTCTGTTGATGGTAACACTTGTCTACTCGCTGGAGCCGAGCAGGAGGGCTTGGCGCACAACCCCTGTTCAACTCACCCTCCACACCCCGTACGTATCTATCGGGTGCGGGGATTTTTGTGAAAATCCCACAACCAAAAGAGCATTTAATCAATTAATGCTTGACTCCCTCGATCTAGCAGCACTCGGGGCTTCTCCTTTTACCTTTTTTGCTTAAACGTGATAAAGTACGTGATGTCCACGCGAGAGGGAAGGGGGGCGCGCTCTCGCAGTTGACTGTTGAGGCGCCGGGTGTGACGGTGAGCTCTAATTGTCTAATGCTACGTCAGATAGTGATTAGTGTCAGTTTTGCCGTGCTGCGAGCACTGGCCACTCCTCGCATGGCGCGCGATGGCTATCTATGCGGGCGGCGGGGAATTCCATCTCGGCGCCGCGCAGACACCCTGGAGGACCCAGTCTCAGCAGACTCTCACCAGCCGCCGCCGCCAGAGTCCGACTCGTCCGTCGCTGCCGCAACGGAGATGTCGGCCGAGTCATCCGACGCCCCCTCTAGCGTGGAGATTGCCGCCGATGCGCTTGCGGTCGCCTGAGCGGTAGCCATGGAGACAGGTTCAGGTGGGGGTTGAGGGGCGCCCCTCCTGCCGCTATGTCCCTCACCTGGGCGAATCGCGACGTCTCCGCGAGGCGGCGCGTCTCCGCGGCGCGCGCCTCTCGCTCCCGCTCCTGGGCGGCGCGGCGCGCCTCTCGCTCGACCCTCGCCTCCTCCTCCTCCGCCTCCTGCCGCGCCTTGCGCTCCGCTGCCGCCCGCCGCGCCGCTGCCGCAGCACGCGGGCGTCAGAATGGGCCGGGTGCGCAACGGACAGGCGCAAGAGACACGGGCAGTAGACGCAGAGTGAGGGCAGCAGGCGCAGAGGGAGGGCGGACACCTGCGTCGCGCTCGGCGGCCTGCTCGAGACGTGCCGCCCTCGCCTGCTGCTCCGCCCTCTCCTTGGCGGCCGCCTCCCTCGCCCTCTCGGCCTCCTCTCGCTCCTCCGCCTCGGCCAGCGCGGCCCGCTCCCTCCGGCGCCTCTCCTGCTCCGACTGCAGCAGCGAAACGCGCCTTTGCGCCTCGAGCTGCGCCGCCTCCGCCTCCGCCTCCGCCTCCGCCTCGCGCTGCGCCTCGCGCTGCGACTCCGCCGCCGCCCGACGGCGCGCCTCCTCGACCGCTTCCGCCTCGCGCCGCGCCGCCGCAGCCGCCTCGCCAGCCGCTAGCCCGCCCGCGACCGCCGCCTCGGCCGCTGCCTCAGCCGCGGCGCTCTGCGCCTGCCACTCGGAGTAGCGCCGCCGCCGCTCCTCCGCCGCCGCCTCCTCGCGCGCCACCGCCGCCTCCGCCTCCTGCTGCTGCCGCCGCAGCTCGGCAGCCGCGCGGCTCGCCTCTGCCTCTCGCCGGCCCTGCGGACGGCGGCGAGGGGGGGAGGGGGGGGGGGGGGTGAAGTGGGAGGGGGGCTCGCGCCGGGCAGCGCCCTGACGCGAGAGGGGTAGCGCGAGAGGGGTAGCGGGGCGGCTTCGAGCGCCTCCACCCCCGAGTCGAACCGCGCCCGCTCGAGCTGCTCGCGCGCCGCAACCTCGGCCTTGGCCCGGAGCAGCTCGGCGCGCAACTCCTCCGCACGGCCCATCTCCGCCTCCGCCTCTGCACGCGCGGCCTCCGCCTCCGCCTCCGCCCGCGCGGCAGCGGCCTGCGCCGCCGCCAACGCCCTTGCGCCATCGTCGACCTCGCCCCCGCCTCGCGGCGGCGGCACCTCAGCCGTCGCCGGCGGCGGCGGGGCCGGAGCCGGCGGCGACGACCAGGGCAGAGGCACTGGCGGCGGCAGCGGGCGGGCCATGGGCGCCGCCCCAGCGCCGGCCGCGGTGCCTCCCATCACTGCGCCGGGCGTGACGCCGAGCAGCGCCGAGGAGGAGCCCGCCAGGAAAGTGCGGCACTGGCGCTGCAGCGACGCGTTGCGTACGTCGAGCTCGCGTAGCTTGGCCGCCGACGACTCGAATGCCTCCGAGAAGAGGTCGCTCCTGTGGCACAAGGGCGTCACGGTGGGAGACGAGAGGCCGTGCGGGCTGGCACCCTTCGCCCTGGCGGCGGCGCACCCTGGCGTGTACTCGGTGCCGCCTCCGCCCGCCGGCGGCCGAAGCGCGGCCGGCTCGGCCGGCGGCGGGGCCGGTGGCTGGGCCGCCGTCTCGTAGCCGCCGCCCCTGCCGCAGCCGGCAGCAGCGGGCCGCCACGAAGGCGTGAAACGGGGTGGCGCGGACGGCACCGCCGACGGCGCCGGCAGCGGCGGGGCGCGCGGCGCTGCCGGCGGGCCGCCGGTGGCGACGGCGACCTCGCGCCGCAACGCCTCCGTCTCGTTGAGCAAATGCGATGCGCGCTGCCGCTCGTCGACCAACGCGGCCTCGAGCGCCGCCGCCCCGTCCTCGGCCCTGCGCACCGCGGCGAGCGACTCCTCGAGCTGCGCGTGCGTCGCGGCCAGCTGCTGCTGGTACTCCTCCGCCACGCGCCTGCGGGACGTGTCCTCGAGGTGTCGCGGACGTGTCATGGACAGCTGCCGCTGGTGCTCCTCTGCCACGCGCCGCGTCTGCTCCCTCGCCTTGCGCACCGCCTGCGACGCGGCCTCCTGCGCCTCCCGCGCCGCCGCCCGCTGCTCGCCAACCTCGAGGGCTGACCGCTGCAGCGAGGCTCGGCTCTCCTCCTCGCGCATGGCCTGAGGCAGCGAGCCAGGCGGGGGGGGGGGAGGTCATGAGCAGAAGCCGCGCGAGGCCAAGAGCCAGGGCCATGGCAAGGGCGGCCAGGGTGATGGCTATGGCGATGCGATGGCGATGGCGATGGCTCGCCGTGGCGGTCTCGAGCTCCGCGAGTTGCGCCGTCAGCGTGTCCATCCGGTCCTTTGCCGCTCCGAGAGCCTCCTCTGCCGCCACGCGCCTGCGGCTGCTCTCGCTGTCTTGCTCCGCCAGCGCCTGTGCGCGACGAGGCGCGGGGAGGTGGAATGGCCGGCATCACCTCTCCCGCCCCTGCGCGGCTGCGTAGCGCCTTGCAGCGTGAGTGCAGCAGACCTGCCTCCGCCTTGAGGGTCGCCACCTCCTCCTCGCGCGCCTGCCAAAGCCGATAGGGGCAGTAACCCTCAGCCCCCCGCCCCCTCGCTGTGGCCGCCTCTCGGCTGCCTCTCGGCTGCCTCTCGGCTGCCTCTCGGCTGCCTCTCGGCTGCCTCTCGGCTGCTTCTCGGCTGCATCTCGGCTGCATCTCGGCTGCATCGCGCCCGCAAGCTGGCGGTGGCGTCGTCGCGCTGCTCCTGGACGAGGGCGGCGCGCGCGAGCGTCTGCGCGCCGCGGTCGCGCTCCTGCCGCGCGAGCGCGAGCTGCTCTCGCGCCGCCGCCTCGTCGCGTTGCAGCGCGAGCAGCCGGTGCTGGTAGGCGGCCTCTCCGTCGCGCCTCTCCCTGGCGAGGTCTCCCTGCGCCTCTCGCGCGGCGAGCTCGTGCGCCTGGCCGAGGGCGAAGGGCCGCACCCGTCAGAGGCGAAGGGCCAAGAGGCGGGAGGAGTGTCAGAGGCGGGAGGGGTGTCAGAAGGGTGTCAGAAGGGTGGGGAGGGGGTGGGGCGGTAGGGTGGGTTGACCGGGGTCTCTCTTGGCGCGCCTTGAGCGAGTTTGCGACTCGCTCGTCGATGAGAGCGCGCTCGCGCGACAGCCGCTCGCTCTCGGCGGCGAGCTCGCGCCGCTGCGACTCTGCGAGCTCTCGCAGACCCTACGGGAAGGTTCCGGGAAGCCTCGCTGGACGGCTCCTCGAGACTGTCGCTCCTTCCGCCCACCTCGCCTTGTCCCGCTCTTTGAGCCCACTCGCCTCGGCGAGCATCCTCTGCCGGTGCTCGTAGCAGGACCTACTCGTGAATGATCGCAACCAACTCAACCTTCAGGACTCGCTCTCCTCTGCCACCGCCCGCAGCAGAGACCGCTCAAAGGCGGCCTCGCGCTGCCGCGCCGCCTCGGCCGCCGCCGCCTCCTGCGCCTTGAAGCGCGCCAGCTGCGCCGCGTGCCACTCCTGCTGCTGCGCCACCACCCGCTGCACCTCGGCTCGCGCCTTGGCCGCCTCGGACAGCCGCACCTGCGCCAGCTCGACCTGCCGCACCCTCGCAACCTCGGCGGCGACCTGCGCCGCCGCGCGCGCGTCCGCCTCGCGCTGGTACCGGAGCAGCCGCCCCTCCAGCTCCGCCGCCGGCTCCGCTCCCTCGGCCGCGCGCAGCAGAGATGCCTCGAGCCCGCGGTCGACGGCGCGCAGCCGCGACTCGAGCTCCTCTGGGCTGCTGCCGCCGCCTGTCTGCGTGGCGGTGCTCTCGCGGCCGGAGGGGAGCAGCCGGCCAACTGCTCCGAGAGCGCGGACAAGCTCGCTGTCGCCCTCCCCTCCCGCAACCGTCGGTGCTGGCGCGAGCGCTGAGCGAGGCAGCCGCAGGATGTCGCAGATGTCGTGGGGCTCGAGCGGCACTCCGCCGAGCCCAGACTCGGAGCTGAAGACGGAGAGGGAGTAGGCGCACCCGCTCGCGCGCAGGTGCCGCAGGACGAGTGAGCTGGCTGCGCGCTGCACCAGCGGCAGTTCGCGAGGCGGTTGCGGCTGCGCCTTTGCCGGCCCGATGCTCCGAATCTCAGCGAGCAGGTAGCAGCGCACTTGCGTCTTGAGGTCGTCAAAGGTACCGGAGCCCTTGAGCGCCTGCAGGAGCTGCGATCTTACGTCGAGGAATGGCTCAGCCATGTGAGCCGACGAGAGGCAGGACTGCTTGAAAACCACGACGTCTTTCTTTTAGCTGGTGTGTGTGCAAGTCCGCGCGAGTAAGCGCCTTGTCGTGCCAGTGTGCTGTGAGAGAGGCTTGTATTTCAAGAATTTTTCTTTTCTTTGAAGTAGTCTTGTCTTCGTTTGTCCAGTCCGAGCCTTACTGTTCTTGACCTTCCTACATACATACATCTGTCACCGCTCTCTTCTGTGTGCCCAGCCAGTCACCGCGCTCGTCGTGCCCGTGTGCTTTTTTTTTGAGAGAGGACTCGTCTCTTAAGAACTCTCGCGCCGGCACTCTGCTAGCGTGGTATCGTACGCCAACTCTCAGGGTGTGTGGCAGCCAGCTTGCTGGCTGTGTGTGTGTCTTGTGAGCCTGTTTGTGTCTGTGTGTCGCTCGTGCGTGTCGTCATCATCTGTCCAGCGTCCACCCATACCGCGTTGCCGTTGGTGTCCAGTCCAAGCCTGGCTGTTCTTCACCTTCCTACCTAACCTAACCTAACCGTGGTATACACACATACATACATAGACACGCGAGTGTCCAGCCAGGGCGGCCACACACACACACCGCGGCACCGCGCAGCGCCGACACTCACGGGTAGGCCGACCATCGGCCACTTTTGACCCCGAGTTTCAGCAGCCGCTGCCGGAGCTGCGGCCGGCCGCTCACACACACATCAATCTGGCCGTTGCAGTTGGCATGGCACCATATCACGCCGAGGATTATTTGAGTAGTGCGGCGGGGAACGAATTTCCACGCGAGAGGCAAGGCGACGGCGAAGCGTCGTCCTCCTCTCACTTTTACACGTAAACCCTCCGCACAAACTGGGCACGGTACTGGCACGCAGACTGGCACTACACAGGTACACGGGAAAAGAATTCCCGGATTCACTTCCACACAAGACAAGCAGCGCAACTCTCGGCACACGATGGAATGGCGCGTATTGGCACTAACCCAGGTACACACCAAAAATAATTTAGCAGAAGAATAGTGTGCCGTTTTCCCATCCGCCCTCGTCCCTTGTGCCTTTTGAGAGTTGAGTAAAAAGTCGCGTGTGCCCAGTGTTGTGGAAATTCTCCGCGGCGGCGCGCCTCTCGGTGGATCGGGTATGTGTCGTGTGTAGTCAGCTTACAGCTAGCCACTCGTGTGTGCGGCGGTGTGTGGGCGCCGCTGCGGCCCCTCTCGGTGTGCGGTCTGTCTTTCAGCTTTCAGCTTTCACCATTTTCTCCATTCAGATCACGGGCATGTTCACGGGGTCTCTCGGGGTGTCTCCTTCGGAACCAAGGTCCTTCGTGTGCGGCTCTCGTCTCTGAGTGGCGACTGCGCGGCGCGTGGCGCGTGGGGTGGGAGAGGGTTGAAGCGCAAATCACAAATGCGCGGATGCACTTATGTATAACACGACCGCAGAAACAGCACGCAGCACGTCGTCGCAACACGCGGGGGTATCGTCGCGGGGCGCGACCCGCGGGACAAACTGAAAAGGGTGCAGATCAGTTGGCCAGCAGCGCCGTGGCTGCGTCGAGGATCGCCTGCTTCGCGTCCGTCAGCACGCTGTCGGGTGACGCGATCTTCTGCTGCAGTAGTGCGTCGAGCTGCGCGCGGATCTGCAGCACCAGCGCCTCGAGGTGGGCCGAGACCTTGAACTTGATCCAGCCGTCGATGGCGAGCACCACCTCGCTCAGCGCGCCGGGCGGGCCTCCGCGCGCGCGTCCGCCCCGGGCCGCGGCGCGCGCCTTCGTCGAGAGCGACGCCCCCTCCGAGCTGAGGGCGCCGCCGAAGAGCAGCAGCGCCCACGGGCTCACCGGCGAGCAGTCGCGGACGTACAGCTGGCCCGTGCGGACCTGCCGCGGAGTCGGAGGGTGGCGTGGCGAGGGCGGGACGTGCACGTGCGTGCGAGGGGCGGCGCCTTTTCGGCAAAGACGAGATACTTCGAGTCGAACCGCGTCGCGCGCGCGTTGACCGACGAGGGGTGCAGGGCCACGGGCACCGGCTCCGGCGCCTCCTGCTCGCGGATGTGGAGCTTGGGCGCACCGGCGCCGCCGCCCTTGCCGCCGCCCTTGCCGGCGCGGCCCTTGGCCTCCGGCTGAGTGACGAGGATCACCTGCGGGTAGAGCGCCGCGCAGAGCAGCGCCGTGAGGAGCGGCACGTTGGACTGCAGCTCGAGCTCGAGCAGGTCGGGGCGAGAGGCCGCGTCGGGGTCGCCGGAGAGGGCGGCGCGCACGCCGTCCGACCCTCCGGCGGAGCGGCCGATCCGCTCGACGCCGCTCGCGCGCAGGCCGCGGGGCACAAAGCCGGCCTCAGAGAGGAGCTCGAGCAGCTGCCGCTTGAGCTGCGCGATGGTCTGGAGCGAGCGGATGGAGAGGAAGTGCTCGCGCGCAAAGGCGAAGCGCTCGCCGCCGGAGCGGCCGTCAAAGTGGTTGTACGCGTTGAGGATGGTGAGGTGGTCGCTCTGCCCGACGGCGAAGCCTCTCTTGGCCGCGTCGGCGGCCTCGCGCTTGTCAAAGGGCGAGAGGAAGGGCGAGCGGCCCGACAGGATGGCGGCGATGGTGAGCGCCTCGTCGGCGACGCCAAAGATTGCGCCGAGCAGGAGGAACTTGCCGATGCGGACGTCGGTCGGGAGGGTCGCGAGGTGCTGGCCGAGGGGCGTGAGCCGCTCTCCGGCGCCGAGCGTACTGCCGTCCAGCTCGAGCGCGTCGAGCTCGACCAGCATCCGCAACGCCTGCAGCACCGCCGGCCGCGACGGCGGCTCGAGCAGCTGCTCGCAGACGGCGGCGGCGCAGCGCTCGTACTTGAGCGCCTTGATCGTCAGGACCAGCCGCTCGAGCGGCACGCGCCGGATCTCGGGCTGCTGGTGCGCCTCCGCGACGTGGTCAAAGGAGTGGCTCGTGTTGAGGTGGAAGGCGACGCCCGGACGCACGCGTCCCGCCCGGCCGCGCCGCTGCTTGGCGTTGGCGCGCGAGACTAGCACGTCGTCGAGCGACTCCATCCTGCGGGCCGGGTCGTACCGCTTCTCCTTCATCCGCGCGCAATCCACCACAAAGACAACATCGTCGATGGTGACGGACGTCTCGGCGATGTTTGTGGCGAGCACCACCTTGCGCACGCCGGCGGGCGGCCGCTCAAACACGCGCCGCTGGTCCTCGGGCGGGAGCGTCGAGTGGAGCGGCAGCAGCCACGCGCGGTGCGGCTCCGCCGAGAAGCGAGGCGTCGCCAGCAGCGCCTCGTGCACCGCCTGGATCTCCTTGAAGCCAGGCAAGAAGACGAGCACCGCGTCCGCAGCCTCGCCCTCGCCGCGACGCGACTGCTGCGGTGCGCCCCCGTCACCGCCGCCGCCGCCGCCGCCGCCGCCTCCTTTCTTGCCTCCGCCGCCCTTGCCTCCGCCGCCCTTGCCTCCGCCGCCCTTGCCGCCGAGACTTGCGGGCGGCGGAGGCGGAGGCGGCGGCGGCGGAAGCGCGCCGCCGGCAGAGCTCGGCGCGAGCTTGCACAGTGTCCGCTGCTGCGCCCACTCTTGCCTCTGGCGAGCCCACTGCGTGAGCTGCTCGGGCCCGTCGCACGCGGCGAGCCACAGCACCAGCTGCGTCACCAGCTCGACGTTGATCACCTACCGACCCGTCCAGAATGTCGGTGAGGGCGGCTGCGCTGGAGCGGCGCTCCCCAAGCTCGCCCCCGCTCGCCTCCGTGTTGAGTGCCGCGAGCGCCCGGTGCGCAGTCTCGCCGGAGGCAGGGTACCTCTCTGCGAGCTCCTCGACGCTGAGCTCGTCGTCGGCCCGCGCCTCCGCCGCGCCAGCACCCGCCACCCTCCCGCCGCCCGCCGCTCCCCGCCCCCGGCCGGAGCCGCCACGGTCAGCGGCACCTCTGCCCCCGCCGCCAGCGCCTCGGCCGCCCGCCCCCCTGCCGCCAGCGCCGGCCGCCGGCTTGGCCGCCCCGCACCGAAAGCACTCTGGCTTGGAGGCAAACACCGCCGCGCCGCAGCCGGGGCAGAGCCAGTCGCCTGGCCGCATCTCGGCACTCCCGTTACCGCCGCCGCCGCCCTTCCCATCGCCGCCCTTCCCGCCGCCCCCCTTCCCGCCGCCCCCCTTCCCGCCGCCGCCGCGCTTTGCCCAGTCCGCGCCCGGCTGCACCGCGTGGCCGACCAGCTCGATCGCGTCCTCGAGGTACAGAGCGGCCACGGGGAAGGCGCGGCCTGGCATCTTGACGGTCGGGACGGGCTTGCCCCCCCGCGCAAAGTAATCCGAGAAGAGGGACGCGTCGAGCGTGGCCGACATGAGGCAGAGCCGGAGCGACGGCCTCCGCCGCAGCAGGTCGCGCAGCACCATCAGCAGAAAGTCACTCTCCATCGACCGCTCGTGCACCTCGTCGACAAAGACGTGCGTCACGCCCTCGAGGTCCGGGTCGTCCTTCAGGCGGCGCGTCAGGATGCCGGTGGTGCAAAAGAGGAGGCACGTCGCCGCGCTGCTCTTGGACTCGAGCCGGATCGAGTACCCGACGGCCGCGCCGAGCCGCTCGCCGCGCTCCGCGGCGACTCGCTCCGCGACCGACATGGCCGAAATGCGGCGCGGCTGCGTGCAGAGGACGCTGCACGGTCTGCCCTCGGCGGCAGCCTCCTCGAGCACGAACTGAGGCACCTGCGTCGTCTTGCCGCAGCCGGTCGAGCCCTCGATGACGACGACTTGGTGCGCCGCGATGGCGCGGAGCAGCTCAGCGCGGTGCCCGAAGGCAGGGAGCGCCTCGCGCTGCGCGCGGTGCGGGTTGGCGTGCGGCGGCGGAGGCACGAACTCGGCGCGAGGCGAGGAGCGAGGCGCCGACCGCGCCGCCCGAAGGTGCGCCGGTGCCGGCGCCTCCTCCTCCTCCTCCTCCTCCTCCTCCTCGGGCAGTGCCACCGAGTCGTACTCGACGACTCCAAACTCGTCCCAATCGTCGTAAAAGACTTCGACCGTGTTCTCCGAGAGCGAGACGACGGTAGCTGCGTACCACTCGCCATCCTCCGGGTACAAGGCCAGCACCGGCGTGCCCGGGCTCAACGCGTCCGTGGCAGCCTCGTCGAGTGCGGTGGACGAGAGCGCTCTTCGCAAGGCGCTCTCGGCGTCAGACGCCATGCCGACGCTCGATATGTCTGGGCCAGAGGCGGCGCGCGGCAGCTTGGCCGCGGTCGGGCCCGCCGCACCACGGCTGCTGCTGCCACTGCCGCCTCCGTGACCGCTGCCGCCGCCGCCGCCGCCTCTGCCGCTTCCGCCGCCGCTTCCGCCGCCTCTGCTGCAGCCGCCGCCGCCTCTGCCGCCACTGCCGCTGCCGCCGCTGCCGCCGCTGCTGCCGCTGCTGCCGCCACCTCTGCCACCGCCACCGACCCCTCTGCCGCCACCTGAACTGCCGCCGCGACCGCCGCGTCCTCCTTTGCTGCCTCCTTTGCCCTTGCCGCCGCCCTTTTTTTTGCTGCCCGTCACGACGAGGCGGCCGTTGACGTAGTTACCAAAGTTGAGCGGCCGGCCGAGCTTGTCTACCTTGACGGGGCCCCTTGGTGGCCTGCCCATCGCGCCTGCCTCGTGCTCACGTGGCCGATCGTCGCGACAGCCCGCGAAGAAAAAGAATTCTCTCGCCATGCACTCTTACAGCAGACTTGCACGAACTACAAGAAAAAGAATTTTTGTACCCGCTCCTCACGCCCTGTGTGGTGGCGGCGTGCTGTCCTCCCATCCCTCCCTTGGGTTCTCTGTTTTCTTTCTTTCTTTCTTTGCCCTGGTTGCAGAGAGAGAGATGTTTGTTTGTTGGTTGCAGCGAGAATCGGCGAGGGACTGCGAAAGGAGATAGAAAGAGGCAGACGACCAAGGGTTAGGGTAGGCGAGGGCTAACACCACCACACTCACTTCCTTAAAATCCCTGTGTGGTGGCGGCGTGCCGTCCTCCCATCCCTCCCTTGGGTTGTCTGTTTTCTTTCTTTCTTTTACGCCCGTGATTGTTTTTCTTTCTTTCTCCAAGGGTGGGTGACGGCAAGCGCATCACACCCCTCTCCGCTGAAAATCCCTGTGTGGTGGCGGCGTGCCGTCCTCCCATCTTGGGTTGTCTCAATCCTAGTTACCTAGAGCAGCGCCTCGCTCTCAATCCTAGAGAAGTCGAAAGGATTGTGAGCAGCACTCCTCGCAATCGTAGCATCTCTGTACGATTGCTAGCACCTACGCTCGCAATCCTACATCTTCTAGGACTAAGAGCAGCTCCGCTCCCAAGGTGACTGGTGACGCCTACGACTACTAACTACCTGGCGCGCTCTCGCAATCCGAGCAAAGTCTAGGGTTGCGAGCAGCACGGCTCACAATCCTAGCAACATGCCTCCGATTGCGAGCAGTAGCGCATGTCATCCTACATCTTGATTCTTGTAGGACTACGAGCGGCGGCGCTCACAATCGTACCCAAGATCCCAAGGATTGCTAGCACAGGAGGGCTCACTGTTTGGATTATAAGGCCGAGACCGTCCCGGCGCGCTAAAAAACGCTCGCGGCTGGAGCGATTGGGAGCGCCCTCTGTGCGCTGAGGATCAATCCTTCCTTTGATCTTTGGTACCGGTCGCGACGAGCGGCAGGCGAGGGTCGTGCCGGTACCGACGTGACAGGACCGGGCACTCCTCTTGCGTGAGCGGCTTTGCAGAGTGCCCTTTGCCCTGGCCAATGAACGGCTCAAAAATACCCGCCGCGGAGGGGCTGGACGGATGGTGCAGAGAAGCACCGCCTCACACAGAGGCCGGCGCATTGACTCCTGAAAAGCCAGCTGCGTGCCCGGGTCCGAGGCGGCCGGGCCGAGGATGCGCACCGCTGCCATCCCCGGTGGCGGCGGCTCAGCCGTGTGGTCAAAAGGGAGCACATCGCGGACGACCCGCAACGGCGGAGCGCGCCATCCCCTCGGCCAGCTGCGGAGAGGAGGCGGTAAGGACAGGCACACGAGCCATCGACTCGAACTTCTGCTGCGCCGCGGGTGTGGTAGATGGTGATGTCCGCAACAGGCAGGCTCTTTGAGGGTTGCCGACATGGAGCAGCCTTGCTCCTCTTGTACCACTCTGCCCACTTTGCAGCAACCCGGCCGGGCAACCCTTGAAAAAAGTTATTTCCTTTTCTTTTGGGGCGGGTCCTGTGGGCACCCTACCTCTGGGGATTGCGTGCGCGTGAGGCGGTGCTTCTGCACCATCCGTCCGACCCGTCCACGCGGGTATCTTCGAGCCGTTCATTGACCAGGGTAAAGGGCACTCCAAAGCCCTAAAATAAATAAATAGAGCAGTCATCTCCAGGGAGAGATGGGCGACGCACACGAACACAGAGGGACAGTGCGCACCCCGCCCCGCTCGCAGGGCGTGCATCACGCAGGTGGACTGTATGACTCCTCGGGTTTCTGGGACTCAGAGGTGTGCTAGTCGCTATTCTCCGACAATTCCGACATATCTGACGGGCAGTTCGGGCTCGAGCGGTCGCGGTCGCGGCCAGCGCGTGAGGCCTGGCTAGGGTTGCCGGGCGAGAGCTCGACCCACGCGCCGGAGCGCGCGTGGTGCTTGAGCAGCCGGGCGGTCGCCGCAGCCACCTCGAAGGGTAGCTCGTCGAGCCACTCGCCGAATGTGCCCTCGTCCTGCGCCGCAGCGAGGAATTGCTCACCTAAGCCGTACGCGCGGCAGGCCCGGTAGAGCGCCTCATTCTGGATCTCCTCCGGCGCCTCGGAGTCGTAGCCGCAAACGGAGGAGCCGGCAGAAGAGGCCCGCTTCGCAGGCGGCGCGTCAGGCGATGAGGAGCGCGAACGCCGCGGCGGCACACCGTCGCCGCGCGCGGAGAGCGCGTTCCTGTCGACGCGGGGCGCAGCCTTGCGCCGGCCGCGCTTGGCCGGCCGGATTGTGAGGCTGCCGGCAGGCGGCTGTGCAGCCGCGGCTGCGTACGACTGAGCCGCAGGCGCCGTCGCTGGTCGCCACTGCAGGTCGCGGCCGCCTGGGCGCCGGCTGCAGTCTCCCTTGTCTGTCTCAACACTCTTCTCCTTCCACTCACCTTCTACTTTCAATCCTACTTTACCCTTCTTTTCGCCCCCTCTTATTTAGTCTACATCCTCCTGCTCTCTCTTTTCATCTATCCGGCCTCCATTATCCTCTCTCCATGCCTTACCCTTCCTTTAATCTATCTATTTCCCGCCTTCAATCCTCACCTTTCTTTTCTAT